AGTTTTATTTTATTTCAATATAATTTATTTTCTTATTATTATTTATTAATTATTATTTAGGATTAAATTAATTAAAAAAGCTTAAAAATGGAAAATATTTAATAAACGATACATAAACGAGCTTACTTTGAGATGAGAAAAACAGAAAACTTATAAAAAATAAAGCAGCGTAAAAAAATGAAAACAGCAAAAAAAATAAATGATATAAAATAAAATGAAATAAGATAGAGAAAAAAAATTAAAATAACGTAAAATAAATCAAAAATAACATAAAAAAAAATTGAATTAAATTTATAAATTAAAATGAAATAAAGTGAAAAACAAAGAAATAAGAAATAAAAATAAAATGAAATGAATTAAAATAAATTAAAAAATCAATCTAAGTAAAAAATAAAATTAAATAAATCAGCAAATAAAATTAAAAACTTAATCATAGTAAAATTAAATAAATGAACAAATAATTAAAAAAAAATTAATCAAAGCAAAATTAAATTAAACAAAATAAATCTGCAAAAAAAAAATATTATAAAATATTCCCCCTCCCAAATAAACCATTTCCATTTCTTTAAAATTCTGCCACTGCGCTTTTCGACCCACCCAACATTTTTTATGCTTTTTTCAATTTTTTTTTTTAATTGAAACTTTAAGCATGCATGTGTGCACAACATAAATTCTTGTATATCACACATCTGTTTGTGCATTTACATACTCGCTTGCATACATACATACATACATACATACAAACATATGCACGTACACAGAAATTCTCATGTAAGTATCCGTACACTCCCAAGTTTTTTTCTGCCACGGCCACAAGTAGCATGCCGCATGCCAATGAGTTCGGCTTTCCGCTACTGGAACGCCATACAATCTTACATACATACATGCATGTATGTAGTCGTACATGCGAGTTATAGCTACAATACTTACCAATCGAATATGCCATAATCCACCACTAAGCTATATCAATGTTTAATTGCTTCATTATAATTATTTGTGTACAAATGTGAATTTGTACACGCGTATATGCATATGTATGTACATATGCATGTATGTATGTATATGTGGGTTTTTGTAATTTATTTATACTTATTTTATTTTTTATTCTTATTTTTTTATTCTTACTTTTTTGCTTTTTAATTTCTTCGCGATCAAAAAGTGTTATACACATGTGCATAAGGGGGGCACTCAGAAGCACTTTACAGTAAAATGCAGGCGCTGTACGTACATTGTACGTACATATGTGCATACAAACATACGTATATATATATATACATACATATATTTGTAAGCAAGCACTTCATTGTGTAGATATGTAACTGACACTTATTTACATGGCCTGCACATACTTATGTATGCATGTATATATGTACATATGTATATACATACATATATGGACGGCTCGTTTGGCTGGCCAGTAATGTATTTACGCATGCTCAACGTGACATTTGAGTATTTCCATATTGTTGTTGTTATTATTTTTATTATTTTTATTATGATTATTCATATTATTTTATTTTCTTACATTAATTGAGGAATTCAGAATTTTTTCCGTAACAAAAACAACAACAAACAACACTTTTTTATGCGCACTTTCTTTGGATTGCTACTATTGTAGGTGTTGTTATTGTTGTTGCAGTTGTTGTTGTTGTTGAAATTAACAGTTGTTTTGTTCATGACTTTTTGTTATCTTTTTTACAACAAATTTCCCATAAATCCATACATTTTAACCCTTAAAGGCGCAGTACATATGTATTTGCTTGTACGAGTATTTTGGTGTGCGTAAGTACATAACCATATATGGATTTTCGACTGCAATTGTATACATACATACATACATACGTGTATGTGTGTGCATGCTCTCACGTACTTAAATTCATTAAATTACTCATTGTCCCATTATTGGCTTGGAAATTTTAATTGACCTTCCATTTGTGTATTATCTCGCACATTTTTGTTGTTATTATTATTGCCTTGCCATTTTATTCGTTGCCCTTCGTTTATTCTATGCGATGAAATTACATACAACATGCGTTCCATATTTTATTTATTTCATTTTTTTTATTTTATTTTAATTTATTTATTTAGTTGTTGTTTTCGGTTTTGAATTTCCGGCGACAAAAGAAAGTTCTAGTAACCAGTTCAGGAGCGTTAAATTTTAACGGTTTTCACACGGCATAGAAAAAAAGTCGTAAAAAAGAGAATTAAAAAAACAAAATTGTTTGGTTTTGGGAATTAAAAGCAAATAAAAAGGGGTGACCTAAATATTTAAGGCCACAAATTATAATAATCATCTGAGTTCAATATTGTTCGCTTCCCAAAAACGGTTGAAACGGTTAAAAATCGATTTTGAAAATGGTCACCCTTAAAGTAACTTTTTTGATCGGCTATGCTCTGAGATCTGCAGGACGCTATCTTAGTTAAATCATCAAGGCATGCAGCACCTATGTATGTATATATTAGAGTCTGACTCTACCCAAGGCAGGGCGATTTCATTTTCGAAAAGAGACCTCCAGTTGTACCGCGTGTCTTTCTATCATTAATAACTTAGAAATGTATTTCTCAGAATGGTGGAGCACATTTTACGTAACCTCTTTCGTAACCCCTTTGGCCAAATTTGCCTAGATTTTCCACAGATTGCGTTGTTAGCCCATCTACAGTACAGCCCACTCATACATATATTCTTTAAGTGGCATTTTATATATGTAAAACACCGATATGTTCTTAAGCGTTTGTTTTGCCGTGCCTTGCATAGCAAGTTCGTCACCTATTCCTCTATCTCTCTGTGTCCAAACAACTAACCGGGAAGGAGAGTATCTTCTGCTTGGCCTGTAGCGATCGACAAGCGTTTTAACCGCCGTTTGACTGTCGCTGAAAATAAAAATGTCTTTGTTTGCCGTCTTCGGCTCCGCCATAATCTGCTGCCTCCATCCTAAGCTCTAACGTCAGCGTCAAAGACGCTGCAATGTTCGAGAGACTGCTACATCAAAGCTCCCATCGAGCTTTGAACCATATGTACCAAAATATATACTGAAGCGCCGAAGTGCATACAAGGACTTGCGTTCCATATATTTATTTCTACTAACCGGAATTGAGCAACAGAGATCGCTACTGCTGGGGATGAAAGGTTACCTTTAGAGGATACCGAGTCTCCAACTGATTCACCTCTCTTAACCAAAAGGCAACTAATACTGATTTTCTTGGTAATCCAAAGGGTGTAGTGGTTGGATGTTAAGGATTACATTTAAGGCTTAAATTTTGTTTTAGTTACCAGGCTTAAGTCAACTTCATTAAAGGTATGAGGATTTATTTTCCTAAATTTTTCTATCATACTTATTAGAATTGACGCAAAGTCCACATCGATCATACCCGTTCGACATCGACTAGGTCTGTAGAAACTCATGCAGCCTCTGGGAATATCATCAGCATTTTAACAGCTCCATCTACACGCCAATCGGTGTCTCCCAAAAGCAAAATGAAAGAAAGGACTCCACTTAGAGTTGTTCCTCTATTTACGTAAGTAGACTCCTGATTCCCTCCTGGTCTCGCAGTTACCGACCTGTACAGGAATAAGTGATTTTTGAAATTAGTTAATGAGATGTTTACACCTAAGCCCTTCTAGGTGGATTTAACAGCTTCGCTTTCTCCAGGAAAGCAACGAGACAATATTCTTATAGACATGCTGATGGTACCAAAGCAGCATCTTATGAATGCTGTGAGAAAGAAATCTAGCTATATTCCTCCACTGCGTTTCAAAAAGGAAGGATGTGAGGCTTATATACCTGCAGTCTCTTGGGCGACTATGTGCGACCTTATCGGTCTTGTAAAAACTGGCTTCAAGCAAGATCTTTACCTGGAAAGTAGATAGTTTTAAGCAGCTACCTAATAGCGCATATGGATCAGGAGCTTGACAAGGACTGAACTTTGTGTCAATAGATGTGGATATGTAAGAGAAACTTGTTGACACTTGGGAGTTTCCAGATTAATGTGGGTCGAGCAGAAATTTGATGGTTTGCTTCTCTGACATTTTCCACGAGCCATACTGCTTATGAAGAAACTATATATAATTTGCGAAACTGGAGGTCATGCATCTTAACCTTACATTCTCTGCTGTGACCTAAATTTCACTGCAATGCAGAACTTTTCACTTTCCTTAAGGCCTTTTTGTATATTTTGAGATTTTTCTGTAAGTTTCCCAGTACTACTCTTGAGCTAGGCGCCCAATTTTGTTGAAGAGCCTCTTACATGTTTACCCCGCAATATTAGTCCACTTTACAGCTTTCCTCTGAGTTATTATTCTTGATGAGCTCTTTAAAATAATGGTTTCCTAAGCAAAGAGTGGAATAGCACCTCAACAGACAGACCAACTAGGCACATCAGAAGGAAAGTACTTGAGCAGGAAGGCTTATCAAAAGGCTTTAAACGCTTTAAACGCCTTTCAGCGAGTGTCTGTTAACTCCTTCTTGAACCCTCTTCTAGTGAACGTTTTTCTCGTAGTCGAACCGCCATCGACTGCAGATGAAGAGCTCGAGCTGCTTTGAGTATCCATCGTAATACAGTCGCACATAAGATGTTGATATTGTAAACGACTAAATTCCTAACTATTCCAGACTCGACCCGGACATACCCAATGTACGAGTATGTGCCCCATGCCATGAAACCCGCACGACATGAATGACTTCTCTACAGGCCCCTCAAAACCAACACATCTAACTCATCATCTATCACTGGTCCGAATCCGTCGAAACAGCGCGTTTTCTAGACCTCCCGTTGAATGACCTCGATGGTTAGACTGTTCTTGAATGCTCTTAAGCGGGGTAAAAGTTATTTAATTAAAAAAAAAAATTTAAAAAAAACGAAACCAAGTAAAAATCGCTGAGAACCGCCATAGCAACTGTTTTTAATATGCGAAATTTTTTTAAATTAAAATTAAAAACAAAACCGTTTTTTTCATTATTTCTAAAAATTTTCTCTACTTTCTCTCTCACTCCACTCCACAGTGCGCGCAGACGTGACAGAACAAAAGTCAAGCGAAAAATCGCCCGACAGCTTGGATAATGACGATTTCTACGATGAATCAAGTCCCGAGAATATAAAGGCAGCATCCAAGCCACCACAACCAACCATCATACCATACTTTGAGGAAGCGAAAACGGTCGTCTATGCCAAAGAGAATGAACGAGTCACTTTAAATTGTCCCGTTAAGAATTATAATGGTAAGTAATTAATAATGAATAACAAGAAAATTAAAAAAAAAAAAGCAAAAAAAAAAAATANAAAAAATAAAAAAAAAATGAAATAAAATGAAAGGAGAAGAAAGTAGTGAAAAGAAAAGAAAATAAATTAACACGCAACCATATACGCTTGTGTATGAACATAAATTACAACGTACATATGTATGTATGAATATAAGCCTTTCTATGTGATTGACTCAATTTGTAGAGAATTCTTGGCATGATTCATTGGGTGGAAACGAGCAAGCAAGCGTTATTTCATTACTATACCATATATACGAGTATATACACACATACATACATATGTACATGGTGAATATATTCTAACTATTTATTAGAACATATTAACATACAAGTACCAGTTATATGTATGTATGTATGTATGCATCTGTGTTTGTATTCCAATTTGTCTATTTTGCATGAAAAGTCAATATGTAAATTAATTTCGAAGTAAAATCCATATTCTTACATACACACATACATACACGTACAGCCATACACGCACATACATAACTAACTAATAATTCGCTCATAGAAATTCACACCTATTTTTCTGGCACACACCTTTTCCTTGGATTTGATCTATGCGAAGCATGATTTCCTTCCCTATAAACATCAAACGGCCGCACCAGCATACATACATACATATACATATATATATATATATATATAGAGTGCTTAAACTGCCTTTCATCAACGACATTCATGCATCAATTTGCATGTAGAAAAAATCTATGTATATACATATATATATATATATTATTTAGTATTAATTAGTATAACACATTTTTTCGCACATATATTCATACCTACATACATATGTATGTATGTGAAATATATTTCTCTTATATTTGCGCTGATTCTGTTTGTGATGTTTTATTATACTCTTTCCTTTTTCTTTTCTTTTTTTTTCTTCTCTTCTCTTCACCTCTACGCCACTCTACTACACCAACTCAACCTCACTTAACCTCAATAGAATCGCAACACCTGATTGTGTGGTTCAGAAACAATAACACACTCACCACGGGTCAACAAATACTCGCCGATGCGAAACTCTATCAATTGGATAAGGATATGAATTTGGTTGTCGATAAAGTAACGGAGAATTCTACAGGCGATTATTATTGTACCGTTATGCCGCATAAAGTACGCATGGATATCATATTGAAAATTGGTGAAGCTCCTGTGGTGAATAATCATCAGATGATGATGAGCGCAAGTGCTCTCCTACTGTTCATCACATTGTTGGCGCGAGAATTGAGCAATGGAATTTTGAGCTTAGCTACAATTTTTTAGGCGAAAAGTTTTTAAGCTACATACTTATTAAAACTTGAATATTTAAGAAAAATGCGAAAAATAGAAAAAAATATAAAAATTATTTTGAATGAAAAAAAAAAAATTAATAATAAAATTATTGTAAATGTACCATAGCTGAGGAAAATTGTTTGTTTAAATTGTTTTTTTTTTATTGTTTTCTCTCTCTCTCTCTGGTTGAAATCAGACCACAATTGCTTACTTTATAAAAGATGATGAAGAAAAATAATTGGAAGAAGAATAAAAGAAGCGTAAAATCACAGTATAATAAAAAAGTATCCAAATGGTACTATTAAAAATATGTAAGTGTGTAAGAATGTGCAGCAAATTGGCTTAAATGCGCTTAAAATGTGTTAGCAGCTATGCAGTATTGAAAAATTCGTTTGTTTTTATTGTACAAAAAAGAGTTTTCATCGAATCGACGAATTTATGTTTTTTCATTAATAATGAAAATTTGTATATTTTAAAAGCTCTATTGAATATATTCATCGAAATAACGAATTCATCGAAAAGATGAATTTGTCAAAGGAGTAAATTTACAGAAATGCTGAATATATTTTCGGAGCTATGCAGTTTTTTCAACGAAAAGCGCACATTTTAGTAAAGGTTGAGCTAATATTTCTACATACATCGAAATTATGTATAAATGGTAAAAACTCGCTCAACAAGCTATGCGCTGCTTTCGAATACATGAAAGTTTAAACATTAAATTACATTATAAATAAATTCTTGGGTACGCTATACGTCTAAAAGATGAATGTAAAAAAGCTGTTTTTTTATTTATAGACTGTAATGAATTTGTAACTAACAAAATTTAAAGTGTACAAAAGCTTGCAATCGGGCCTAGTGCGCAGAGTTCGTCGAAACGATGAAAATCTTGGTTTTGTGCGTAAATATACTTTTTTTTCTTTTTTGTAGTGTAACCAAAGGTATTTTAGGAATATCTAAGTAAAAGTTATTATCTTTTTGGAGCAAACTTTTTTTTTGTTAATTTAAGTATTTGTATAATTAATGATTTTGTAAATAGCATAAAGCCGTATATTTTAATAAAAAAAATGCTTATAAAATTTTTCTGCAGCATTACTGTGATTTTCTTTTGAGGACTTTTTTAAAATTTTACATTTAAAATACTTTTTCTTAAAGCTTTATATTTTTCAAAAAAATTTTTTTGTCATTTGTTTGGTGCGAAAATTCTTTTTGGCTTTCAAAAAGTTTTCCAAAAATTCATTGAGTAATTATTAGAATTCATAATTCGTAAATAATGTGCGGGAATTTTCGAAACATTCTTTTTTTTTATTTAAAAATACTTTACAAATAAAAAAATGTATTGTATGAACTCAATACATTAATTAAACGAATGTTATGAATCAAATTCATTACGGAAATTATGATATGCACACCATTTTAAAATTCAAAAGTAAAATATTGCTTTATTCTTAAGCACGAAAATTAATAACCTAAGAACTATAAATATTCGTCCATTCGATGAATACTTTTTTGAGTGCGAACTAAAATGTTTAAATTCGAACCTAGAGCTATGTATTAATCAATTTTAAATGTATTTTAAAGTATTTTTGTTCAAAAACCGTAAATTCATCCATTCGATGAATAATTTTTGTTTGACCAATTCGCTAATATAGGTCATTTGAAATCAGTATAAGTCACTTTTAGCTTATATTACTAAGAGAAACCAAGATTTTACGTTCAATTTTAATTTATTTCTTAAGTTTAAATCAAAGCATTTTTATTCGTTTATTGCGCTTTTTCCGAAACCACCTTTGGTTACACTGCGCTACTGCACAATTCTAAATTTTCTCAATTTTCTAAAATCTACAAATAATAGATGCAAATTTATTTTAAAGTGTTTAAAAATATTTTCCAAAATATTTTAAAATATTTTATGGAAAATATATGAAAAACAAAACATAAGTCAGCCATTAAGTAATATATACATAAATATACAACTTTAGTTTTTTGTTCTAACTCTTAGCTGTTGATTTAGTATATAATTACATACATTTATTGCTATGTATACATAGATGTATGGACATGCAAGTATTTACTTTACCTACAAACACATATACAGATATGAATAAATACTCTATGTTTGTTTTGTCGAGCAGAAAAAAACGAAATTTGGAAACATAAACAGCAGTTATAATAGAGAAATTTTCATGTGAATTGAGTAGTAGAAATAGTAAAAATGGAATTTTAATGTAAAAAAGAAATGTTTTAAAAAAATGTATTGTAGGTGCTGATTTCAAATCAAATAATGACAGTTGAAAGCAGTCAAGGTTTGGTTAAGGTATATACGAGTATATACGTGTATGTATGTACAGTACTTATGTATATACTTTACAGACTTATAAAAGTAGTAGAAATAGCAGTGAAACCGAAAAGTGCCATTATTTTACACAAAGCAAACGAAGTCAGGTAGGGAAAGTATCTAAAAAAATATTTTAAAGTGAAAATTTTAGTAAAAGCTTTTTAAATACAAAAATTAAAAATGTCAACTAAATAAATTTTACAAAGGATTTTTTTTTTTGTATAGCATAATATAGAAAAATATGATTTAAAATGACACAAAAAAATTTAAATAATGTGTGCGGGGTATAAAAATAAATAATCAATGCAATTTTTTATTTAATGAAATTTAATTTTTTAATAATATTTTTTTACTAAAAAATAATATGATATTAAAAAAAAATATTATTAAAAAATAATATTTCTAATATTTTCTTAATAAAAACTGTTTTAATTTCATGCAATGTTAGTTCAGCTAAATTTAAATTGTTTATTTAAAAATAATTATTTTTTATTAAAAAACTTAAAAGCGAAAAAAAAATTTCCCAATTCAAATGAAAAAAACAATAATAATTTGTAAACGCAAATTAAAACTTGCTTAAAATTTTTCTTCTTCTTGTTAGTAAGACTAATATATTTTAAAATTTTTTAGCTATTTTTAAACCAGACCCAAAAACACTTTTTAAAAAAATATTATAACAGCAAAAAGCTTTTAAATAAGCCCACCCAAACTTTTTTGAATCATATAACAAAAAATATTTATTTAATAATCAAGAGAGAATCGCAGTTTCGTTCTTTCGTAACCTTTTTGTAATTTTTTTTTCTTAAAAAAATATAAAAAAATATATAAATATTTTCAAAAAATTAGAAGAAAAAATGTTCAAATTTAAAATTTTTTTAAACTTATATTTCATTAAAAAAATGCATAAAAGCGCAATAATTACGCACATAAAAAATATTTTTATTTCAATTAATCTTTATTAAAATGTTTATAACTATATAAAAATTGTTAAGAAAATAAAAGAAAATAATTTTTAAACATTAGCTCAATAAATGTTTTGCATACAGAAACATCTAAACAAATATTGCAAACTGTTTTCTGCGCACAAAAAAAAATATTTTTATTAAAATTTGTGCAATTAAAGTTGATGAAATTTAAGAAAATTTTAGTTAAAAAAAATATTTAAAAAAATTTTTTTTTTAAATAAATAACATTAATATTTGTAATCTTTTTGTTAGTCTATTTTCTTCACAATTTTTTTTCTATTAAAAACTGCACTAAAGTACAAAATTTAAAATTTTAATTATTTTTTGAATTTCATGTAATTTTTTTATGTAAAATATCCGCGCAAATTTTCAAAATTCGTTGTGGTAAAACAATTTAAAAATATAGTCTTTTTACAAAAATGTTCGTTAATAAATTTTTATTTACTTTTTTTTAAACAAAAAATTGCACAATAATTACGAAATTCCGGCTTAAAAGTATTTAAATTTATTTTCTTTCCAAAAAATCAGTCTAAAATAAACATTTATTTTATATGTTTTGTTATTTTAATTTTAATATTAATTATATTATACAAAATATGGTATTTTCAAAAATAAATATTTTAAATGATTTGTTTCTAATATTTTTTTATTATTTTATTTTCTACTTTTAACGAAATTTTTTAATTTGCATTAAACTCACTAAAGTTAAGTTTCAAAAAAAAAAAAAAAAAAAACTGTCATTTTCAAAAATAAAAAGCGTGTCCTCAAAACTTGAACTTTTGCAATTTAATTTTTATTGAATTTATTTGGAAAGAAAAATTAATGTTTTTACAAACAATTATTAAAAACTAATTAAATTTGCTAGAAATTTTTTTTTTTAATAATATTCCAAAAACAATTTACCCACGCAAGCACATATGCAACATAAAAATAAACACAAATAAATAAAAAATATCAAAAAAAAATCTATTATAACTGCTTGTTTACGCGTCATGAGTACAAATTTTTATTTAGGATATTGAAAGTTATGTATGTAGATGGATTGTATTGAAAAAATAAATAAATAAAAATCACAAGAAAAATAAAAATAAATTGTATGTACTTGTAGTTGTAGCTAAGCTTGTTAATAGCTGTAAAAGATATTATTATTAAAACTTATATAAATTAGTAATAAAAAATAATAGGAAAAACACAAAAAAAAAACAAAAACAAAAACAGAAAAACCAAAAAGCAGATGAATAATGAGATGTTATGAATATTTTCGAGCTTCTCTAAAACAGCAGCAAGCAGCAGCACTCAAAAATGCCTTTTTCAAAAACAATTCCGGCTTAAAAACAGAAGCTAAAAGAAAAATATGATAAAATAACCGAAAAAGTCGTATAAGTGTGTGTACTTAATCGTTAAAGTCAAGCAATCCTATTGAAAATATGCATATTGAAATCTATATAACTGTAAATGCAGAAGTATGCAAGCACTGCAGTTTTTGAAGTGTTCGAGTGGCTTGTTTTCGAAAATCGTATAAAATAAAAGATAGAGTATGTACTTATTTTTCGAGGTGGCAAAATGCAGTTTGTTTTATTTAAAGGAAAAATTTTTAGAAAAAGGTAAAAGGAGTATAATAATATATTTAAATACATATATACATATTTATATATTTTTTTTTTAATTTTTTCACACAAAATCAACAACAGCCAACAACACGTAACGGCAAAATGGGCTTAAAACAAAATTTTTTATTTCAATATTTATTATTAATAAAAACTCGTGTTCTCTTTAACTTCATTTTGTTTCTTTTTTTTATCTTTGAACCGAAATTACTTGTTTTCGCCACACCCGAAAAATAAATTCTTTGAAATTTTGTATTTAATAATATTGTTGAATTAATCAAGCACATGCACATGTACATAAATACAACATATAAATATGTTTGTATCTACTTTTTTATGTGTTTGTTTAATAAATTATTCATTAATAAATCAATCTGACCATGTTGTTGTTGTTGTTTTTGTTGTTGTTGAGTGCGCAATGAACGTGACCAAATCGAATTTTTGGCGATTTTCAATCAAATTGTATCGAATTTCACACACATGCGCAAGGCAACGCCTCAATGGCTAGACGCTGAGGAAGCAATGCTGTTGTTTCGAGTGAAAGGAAATTCAATAGGATTTATTAGTAAAAATTTTCCATAGTCTAATTAAATACTGGGAAATCAATATTTGATTTTTGCTTTTCTTTTAGTTGAGTTTTTTATTTACAATGTGATATATTTAATTAGCGCTTAGTTTAACATTTACTGATTACTCAGTAGGTTGATGTCCTCAGAAGAATAAAGTAAGATTACCAATATTTTATAATTATATTTGTATATAAAAGAAAATTAAAATTTTTAATTTAGTTTTTTATAATAAAACAATAATTTTTATTTTTCATATTTTTATATTGATTTTTATTATTATTTTTTTTTTATTTAAACTTTTTATATAATTTTCCTTTTTTTTAAACTAGCTAATTTATTATGGTTCGATATACTTAGAATCACAATTAACAACTAAAATGACTTAAAATGAAAATATAGTGCATTCAGGCATTAACGTATTTTGTGCTGAAATATAATATTTAAATTTTTTATTGCATTTAAGCCAGGCCAATAACAAGTAGACATTTTTCATTCACATAGGCCTCTTTAGAGACTTATAGGTAAGTATGTAGTACATTTTGGCACATTTGTACAGGATTTAAGTATATAGTATTTTTGAAAAATTATCAAAATTTTTATTAACTTTTACTAAGATTTATTACTTTAAAACATTTTAACTTAATTAATTATGTTTATTTTATTTCTCTTTAACTTGTTTTATTTTATATATTAAGTTTTATTTTATTTAATTTAATTCAGTTTTATTTTATTTTAATTTTATTGATTTAATTTTTTTATTTCATTTTAAAGAAAATACAAGTTTTTATTAATAATAAATTTCTAACAAAATATTGTGCGGAAATCAAGCAATAATTAAAAACTTAATGAAATAAATAATTAAGAAATATGAACTTTTATTCAATCAATCATTTTTAAATTTATTTTATTTCATAATAGTTTTTTATTTTACTGCTACTTTTAATTTAATTTTATTTTTATAATTTTTATTTTTGTTATTTAGCTTTATTTTATTCATATTTGTTAATTATTTATTTCTTTAAGTTTTTTTATTATTCTTGATTTGCTCACAATATTTTATTAGATTACTTTATTTGGTTTTTTCCTGTTTTGTTGCTTTATTCTCTTTATTTTTTCCATCTTAATCGCTTGTTGGTTAGATAAATTAGATTTTATAATTTATTTCGTTCAAACATTTCTAATCCCTTTTTTGTTTTATATTTATTTAGTTTAATTTATTTTTATTTATTATTTTTAATTCTTCTTTCTATTTTTTTTTTATTGTTTTGATTTATTGTTTTGATTTAATATTAATTATATATTATATTAAGTCAATATAATTTAATTCATTATTTATTTGATCTTATTTTAATTAATATGTATTAATTAATTTACATTATTTTATTTTTATTTTTTGTATTTAATATTTTTTTTAAAAAATTTTGTTTCTACCATTTTATTTTAAGTTATTTAATTTAATTTTTTTTCGTTTTTTTATTTTAATTAACTGTACTCTATATTTTATTTTATTTTTATTATCATTTTTCATTTATAATATTTATTTAATTTTTTTTAAATTGATTTTCTTTTATTGCATGTAATTAGATTACTTGAATTTTGTTTAATATTTTAAAATTATTTTTTAACTGTTTTTTATAATTTTTGTTTTATTATGTTATTTAATTTTTTTTATTTAAATTTATTTAATTAATTCCTTATTTATTTGAACTTATTTTAACCAATTTTACTTTATTTTATATTAATTTATGTACATTATTTCATTTTTATTATTTTTTAAATTTATTTTGCTTTCTATCATCTTATTTTAAGTTAGTTAATTTTATTATTATAATTTTTTTTATTCCATTATTATATTGTATTTTAGTTTTGTTATTTTCTCTTGTTTTACAATATTTTATTTCAATTTCTTTCTATGGTTTTATTTAAATTGATATTCTGTTATTTTGTATAATTTAATTTTTTTTATTTTTAAACTATTTTGCTTTGCATATATACTATACTTAATTTAATTTTGTTTTATTTTATTTAATTAAATTTTATTTTATTTTGTTTTTGTTTTTATTTAATTTTTTTTACTTTATTTTATTTAAATCTGTTTTCATTATTTTTAATTTAATTAAATTTTATTTTATTTTATTTAATTTTATTTTATTTTATTTAATTTTTTTTATTTTATTTTTTTTTTTTATTTTTTTTATTTTATTTTTTTGTATTTTATTTTATTTTATTTTATTTTATTTTATTTTATTTAATTTTATTTTTTTTATTTTATTTTATTTTATTTTTTTATTTTTATTTGCTTTATTTTATTCGTGTTATTTAATTTAAACTAATTTAATTTAATTTTATTTTACCTCATTTTATTTTAATCTATTTTGATATATATTCAATTAAATTTAATATATATAATATTACTTTATTTTGTTTTATTGTATTTGATAGAATTTTATTTTTCTTTTTTTTGTACTTCATTTCATATCTCTAATTTTTTTTATTGTTTTTCATGTTATTTTAAATAATATTTTTTTCGTATTTCATATAATTTATGTATCATATTTTATATAATTTATTTATTATTATTTTTTTCATTTAATTTTTGTAAATTATTTATTTTTATTTCATTTTTTGATATTTATTTGCTATTAAATTGTTTAATTTTATTTGTTTTTATTTCATTTTATTCTCTTTCTATTATTTTTGATTAATTTTTAGTCTATTTAAAATTTTTCCAGCTTTTTTAATACATTATTTACTTACACATGTACATACAGTATACATATATTTATCGATACTTTACGCTTAAATATTTGTAATATTTATTTGCGACTCGTTTCTACATACATACAAATACATATAACCTTCAACTTCTTATTCAAATTGATCTATGTTTGGCACCAATGGTTTCACAAGAAGACATACATATTTCTCAATTATTATTTTTACTTCTTTATAAAGAATCTTTTATGCCTTAAATATGCAAATTTGTTTTTGTTTTTCCAAATAGATAAAGATTTACAACATATAATTTTTATGCAAATAAACAATATTATATATGCATACATACATATGTATGTATGTAAGCGTAAATTAAAATACTTTAGTATGTTTACACATACATATACATATAAATATACACACACAAACATGAAAATAGCACAATATACTCATATGTCACTAAGTACTACATTTTAAATCTTTGGCAACTTTTTTGTTTGCTTCTCTCATAATAATGAAATCCAGTTTCTTGGCAACAACAAAAGCATACAACTAATAGCAAAGACAGCGTGTAGCGTTGTGTGTGTTAAACGCAATGTCGTACCGCTATTCGCACCTTTCGTGCTGCCGCCAAAACTCGCCACGGCGATATTCTTAGGTGCGCCGGCTGTATCCAAGTCATCTGCGGAGATGGAAATAAATTCAATTTATATAAGTAAAAATATAGAAATATATCTTAATATAATATGTGTGTAGGTAAGTAAGTTTAAGCAGTGTAAGTGTATGTATGTTGCAATAAAGCGCTTATCAGCAACAATTAAGCGCACTTGTTGATATATTTACGAGTGTATAGTATGTATGTATGTATGTATATACTGAAAGCATACCTTCTTCATCCACATCCACATCATCATCATCATCATCATCATCATCATCATCATCGCCATTATCACTTTCATTATCTTTAATAACGAAATCATGCTGCGCGGAAAATGCCGACCAACCAACGGTGTTTTTCGCTCTCATACGCACATGCCAACTTCCCGGCGTGAGTTCCATCTCGTGAGTCACCTTCCATATGTGAGTGTCCGCATGACGATGTGTGTGCACCACCGAAACTTTGCTCCAAGTGTAGGACTTAAATTAAATTAAAGTTTAGGATAAGTGATAATACAGAAGATGAATTAAAAGAAGAAATTAGGGAAAAAATTTAAAATTAAAAAATAAGATTTCAGTAAAAAAATATAATTAAAATAAATAAAAAAAATATAAAGAAAAAAATAAGATTAAAATAGAAATCATTTACAGCGTCTAAGTACGTATGTCTGTATATATATATGTAATAATGATAAAATTCTATTTCAACTCTTTCGAATAATTTAACAAACTCTCCCCCTCGCTGCCTCTCTCGCTGCATGAATCAATTTAATTACAGTTACCACAAATTGCGTTCACAAGTATCGCACTGCGCGAGTCAACAATAGTGGCGCAATCCAGTAAATAGCCAGAGTCAGTAGGTAATTGAGTCACCTCATTTACATATCTACATACACACAAACGGGCGTACGCACCTACACCGCACCCTATGAGATTATAACAGTAAGTGGTTTAGTTGTATAGTTTTGTGGCTTAACGATAACAGCCACATTTTCCGGTATTTAGATGTACATATGTATGTACATACGTAAGTATTGTGATCTTTTAGAAGTGTGTACATACATACATACATACATACATACACAAGTCAGTTGTAACGAAGAGTTAGAAGCGTGTGGCGTTGGAAATAAAGATCTAGAAAATAAACGTGTCTGTAACTTTGTGCAAGAATCAGTGAATTCTCAGGAAGAGTGCCCAATCTCTTCTTCTTCCATCAAAATCAAATGCATCCTGGAGTCACTAAGTCTCTCTCTACTTGATCTTTTAAACGAATTAGAATGATCTTCCGCTCTCGCTACGTCCACCCTCGACTAGTGCATCGGAAACTTTCCAATGTGAAGTTTTTTCCCGGGTTCGTACGATATGAGCCAACTGCAGTCTCTTCGCCATATAACCCGTACGGCTCATTTTTCGATCTTTTGTGGTATTCGCCATTATCGAGTTCTATAAATCTCCCGAAAGCTTGCTGGATACATTGAATGTTGTTTCGCGCTTCTAAACCACACAACAGGACCCCTCCCCCCCTGTGGGTTAGGGGTTCAAGAATTTACCACTGGTAAGGCATGCCTGTCGTAAGAGGCGACTAAAATTCAATAGTTCTCGCGATAGTCGGGTCTTTATACCGGAACGACGCGGATTTTTATCCGGCAAAGGACTGTCACTCTCGCAACATTCCCAAAAGGTACAACAACAATAACAGTAATAATGAGTGACTTCTACAGTTTGCTCTTTTTAGATCGAAAGAGGTTTAAACTTTTTAATTTACTATTCAGTCGAATGTAACACCCATTGAAGAAAGTGATTCGGCATAAGATTTCGAGACTGACAATATATTTTCCAACCCATCATCAGAGAGATAAGATCAAGTTCTTCGTTTATAGAGAAGATAGGTCGAAGAACTGGTCTTGGGACTAGTTAATGGAGGACGAGCTATGATAACCTTATTTGTTCCTCGAGTAGACCCGTCGCAGAATAAGTATGTAGTTAGCTAATCGTCCTCCCCATTAGCTCCTAAATCCTAAAGTACATTCAGCATCGTCTTAGATAATATTGTATTATCTTCCTTTTTCGGGAGTATTTGATACGTCGGGGAATGTTTTGTCTTCTCGTTTTGACCAGAATTGTCTAGGTTGAAATCAAGTTGCTTGGAGTACCCAAAAAATTTTTCCGTGCGTTTTGTGTAAATACACTCAGCGGCACTTTGAATTTGGAAAATGTCTTCCTAAAGTGTTCTTTACTAGGAAAAAAAAGCTTCGGCGTGGGCTTTACATGGAAATCCATGTAGCCAGAGGCTCAGTTGAGCGGTATTGTGTTCTATTTAGCCACACTTTTGGTTGGTTGATTAATTGAAAAGGAGAGTAGTTAGGGATCTGATCGCGGATGGCTGCAATCAAGTCATTAACAAGGCTCATTGTGCTCTCGGATTTAATCCAACTATGTGTTATTGAACAATTCGTACGATTTTATAAATATGCTAGAGCTTGAGGCGTCATAGATTCGTCAAAATCGGCTGAATGCAGGGCACTCGCAAAGTCATGTACTCTAGTCCTTCACTTTCTTCTCTGCAGATGGCTGAACCAATCTAACCCAGGTTTTGTGGACGATAGCTGAGTCTTTGCTGCCTCATCCATACACCTACAAGTATACTAAGAACTCGGCGGGAGCCAAAAATCATACCTCTTGGTGGCAGGTGTTAAATATCGTCTCTCTTCCAAAGCCAATCGGCGTTTCAACGTTCTAATTTCGCTAAAGCGATAAACTCAATTAGGCAAACGTGTCTTTGTCAACTTTATTAGTCATTGTTTGTCTGCGCAATCTGCTTTTGGAGATTTTTTGAGCGGAACAAAATATTCCGTTAATTACCTCAATGCATCACATGCATACATACGCGTATGTACTTATGAGTATACACGTATGTGATATATAGTCGCCACCTCGTCGTAGCGTAAATTTGTCAGATATTTGCGCAAGCTGCGCGTACCAATTGATATGATAAAATTCTCAAGTGATAAGATGGCTGTGTGTCTAAGCAAACGCAGAGCGTGCTTAACTTGTGAAATAGCACGAGTGTGATGGTTAATTCAGAAATCAGAAGTGTGATAATGAAAAATAGTAAAAATGACAGCTCCACACGATAAACTTTCGTTGCAGAAGACCTGAGATCTGTGGTAGGGCAGACTATGTGAAGAAGAATAGAATATCTAAGAGATGATTAAAAACACTTTAAGGTTGTCCAATAAGACGTAGCTTGTCTTTGCACCTAAGCACTGCGTTGAGAACCTATAATAGGTGGATCCCCCCCCAAAAAGGCTGTGTCAGCTCTGCATTAGAGCACATATTTTTCTGATCTATACTTTAAAGCAGCCTTCCGAGGCTCTTTCAATTAAAAGACCGCACTTATTGAGGGCTCATAATAGATAGATTAACCACTGGTGCTATGTGAGTTCGACAATAGAACTAGTATTTTTTTGAACTTTCCTCTATAGAAGCCAATTGCCGCTCATTTATTAAGCGCACCTCACTTTCTGCGTGCTTTCCTCTTGTAATTGGCTCTGAGTTCCACGGCCTTTTTTTTAACAAATATAAGCTTTGAACGACGACTGACCCCCAAAAAATCATCTACACTCTTTCACTTATAAGTCCATACTTTAACTCTACTTACCCCCGCCAATTTGTAATCCAGCACCGCTTCCGATAACGGTTGAATGCTGCGCACTAACCAATGTATAACCGCTTTGCTGCCACTAACCTCAAAGTCTTCCAACTGTGGATGCTCTGGCTCATATATAATACGTACATTCACCTCGTCGCTGCCGATAGTGTTCTGTGCGGTTTGATACAGTAAAAAAAAATCATTTTCTCAACCAAAAACTGTTGTACTCACCTGCACACGACACGTATACTCGCCGAGATCCTTAGAGCGCACATCCATAACCGTTAGTATCGAACGCGTGCGTCCCTTATGCGCCACCTCGTCGAGTGTGTATTTCTGTGACGCATTCAAGCTTTTACGGTTCCGTAACCATTGCGCTTGACCACTCGGATTCGCTGTGTAATCGCAATACAACTCTGCATTGCTACCCTGTGCCGTATTCACATAATGCCGATAAGTGGACACTTTGGGCGCGTAGACAACTTCCACGACAATCATGGCATGTGGCGGTTCCTGTGAGAGATCATCGGCTAAACACTGATAGATGCCGCCGTGTTTGGTGTCTACATTGTCCAGGTACAATTGTTCACCCAGGACGCGCTCGACAACAGACTCGGCACGTTTGCCCTGTGTGGTGAGTGGGGGAAAAACAGAGAGAGAGAGAGAGAGAGAGAGAGAGGGAGAGAGAGCATAGTAAATTAAAACGCTCCATAATGTGTTGGATGCATTAACAACTCACATCTATGAACCATTTGATCTGCACATTTTCCAATGAATAATATTTACATTCACATCTATGTGGTTCACCCTGTACAAGGACCAGCGTATCGTTGGTCACTTCTTTTCCATCGCAAAAGATCATAAGACTTTCATCTACCTCCAAGAGGGCATGCATGCGCACCTTCTCAGGCAGCACTTCACAATAATAATCGCCCGCATCTTTAACGGTTACATTCTTTATGACTAACGAGTTATTCTTGAGCACATCCACATTGGGGTACATAGTAAATTGGCCAGTCGCAATTACGACCTTGCCCTTGTACCACATAATGACATTATTTGCTGAAAAAAACGAGAGAGAGCGAAAGAGAAGCGTTAAGCGTTTAAGCGTTAAACTTTATACCGCACACATATTACTTTCTATACGCTTACTCACAGTGCACATTTTTCGCCACACAATCGATCATTACATTTTGCTCGGGTTGTGTGTAAATTTGCAACTCTGTTTCTTCGAAGTAAGGTGGCTCCACCCTGAGCTCTGCGGGTTTTTCTTCTACTGCCGTCTCTAAAGCTTCATCATCATAGTCATCAGCATCATCTTCCTCATCATCAACATAGTCATGGGCACTTGCGTCCCCATCGTCATCATCTTCGTAATAGTATTCGTCGTCGTCGGTGACGATGTCGCCGGCGATAACGGCCTTGGTCTCGTCGGACAGTGCTGAAAATCAAATAATGCGAGTTAAGTATTTGAATTTTCAATTCACACTCTGTTTTTCTTTTTTGGTGCGAGCCGAGTTGAATAACTTGTGAAAATGCAAATGGCATAAAAGCTTCATTCAATTAGCACTAGTTCAATCACCTGCGGCGAAGTGGAGTTGGAGGGAGAGGGCGAAAATAACAAATTATAAGTGAAGCAGTGAATGGAAGAGCTTTGAAGGCTAAGTAAATTATCGCAAAATTATATTAACGGAAGTTTTCATTCCAATATTTTTATTCGAATTTCTTTGTAGAAACGGTGATTTTTGTTTCCACTCATCCTGAGACTTTCAAAACAACCAATTTTCAAACAATTCGGAAGCCTCAAATTTAATGGATCATACCGACAGCCGGTCCACTGTGGCCTATTTCATTACGCTATATTGTTCTGAAGTGGAATATTGGTGGACTATTTCAGGCCAGCCAGGCCTTCCTGCTGTTCCTGGACTAAGTAATAGAAATATAGTCAAGGTAGTTAAGCAGCTGATAGCCAAAACCAGCCAGCTGAATGAGCTCAGCGAATTCGGCATCACTTATTTACTAAGAAATGCCGGAAATAAATGAAGACGCACACCAAAAATTGGAGGAGGAGGAACCAAAAATTTTTCCAACGATTACAAAGCGTCAAGATTTGCAACTCTGCAGTGTCTTCCCATGCAGTTATATTGTTCAGAAGTGGAATATTTTCAGAAACTATAGTTATGTCGAACATTTTGAAGTATGTATCTATTCTAGCAAAGACATTTAGATTTCGGCATCACCGATTCAATTATTAACAAAGCTTTTGTGGTCTTCTTTTCCCCATAAAAATCCGTCAATCGTTTGGAAACAGCTTGGAAAACTTGGACCTGTTGTTTTAAAAAAAAATTAAGACACACACCACAAACCGGAAGAGAAGCACCAAGTTCGTAAGCTAAGAATTACTCAAACATGCCAAGACCTGGCATATTGCAGCGTCCTCTATCAACATATATTTTTCAGCAGTGGAATATTGTTGCATTCGTTCATGGTGAGGTTTCACTGAAGACAATTAGAAATGAAATGTTATTATGCCGTGGCTATGTTCATGAAGATCCTAGATGAAGAAAATTAATATCAACAACAAAGTGACTGCATCGGGTATACAAAAAAATGAGGTTATAAATAGAGTACTAAGAATTTCGCGCCAGAAGGTTCGCAAAGATACTAGCAATCACCTAACGAGCTAAAAAGGCAGGAAGGTCTTACTCTAACCAAGGTTCAGAGAAAGATACAAGCATCAACCACATATTTGAGATTCAAGAAACTAGAGCTTAAGTGAGGTTAAGTTTGATTACATTCGTTGGCTGCTATGCCTTACATGACAGTGCTGGTCCTTTGCAGTGCCAGTTGAAGGAAAGATTTATTACGAGGTAAAGTAGTCTGTGTGGTCTGTCTCGCTTTATCTAGAACAAGGCATAACCAACTAGGAGCTCCACTGTTCTTTTTCTAAGCCCACTTACACTTCCTATCCTAACACACATGTCTCACTTGTAGGAAAAGTTAAAAAAACTCGACTTTAAGTATTTCTAGTATAAGACAGCGCATCATCTTAAGGTCCTTCGGACACGAAAGAGAACTCTCTAGTATTTTTGGTCATACGAATTTCGATGACGAAAATTACTTGTTCCAGGCAACTGCTGGCAATGGAGTAACTCAGTAACACTCTTTCTCTCATTATGTGTGATTTTTCTATGAAACGAGAGGAGAAGAACGAAGCAAGGAATAAGCACTGTTCTCTACTGCAATGGTATGAGCTGATTGTAATTGTAAACTCCTACTTATCCAGACTAGAAACCAGCATACCCAACGTATGCCCTGCATGTGGAGAATCTTCGCACGACACTAACCACCTCTTCACATGCCCTCTCAAACCAACTCATTTAACCCCCCCTCTTCCTTTGGTCCAACCCCGTCGAAACAGCTCGTTGCCTGGACCTAACACTAGATGACCTCGGCGACTTAGACTGATCAAACTTGTGCCCAAGCGGGGTTAGTGAACCGCTACAACAACAACAACAACAAGAACAACAACTGCAATGGTCCAAGAGGAAAACTCCAGAGGGTGAATATGGCTTATTAACTTCCCGGTTGGCTTTATGAATGCATCACTCCTCAATCAACATTTTCTTTGCTCCCATTACGCTTTGTATATTTCATAATAACATTTAGCAATAAATAGCGCAGAAGTAGCCAATTTAAGCTAAGTACGTACTTTGATGTCTCTGTGGATTTGTGTTTTGTTGACCCAATTCTTTGGCAAATGCTGATTTTCATTTATTTATTTATTTTATTTTTTTTTTATTTTATTTTTTTTTTATTTTTTTTTATTTTTTTTATTTTGCAAATCACATATTTTGATAAAGACACATGTTTTCATTAAATCACAATACAAATATACATACATATACATGTGTGTACATTTATATATATTGGCCATTGCGAATCCCTGAGTGTGTAGGTAGATGTACGTACGTGTATGTACATATGTATACACGAATGAGGAGTTCAATTAAGGGGCGTTTCGGTATTTATTTTTTTTTTAATTTTGCAATTGATTTTGAGCTTAAAATATGAAATGAAGAAATATTATTTCGGGATCCCGAAATTTTTTTTAAATTTTTTTTACATAAAAAATTAAAATTTTTTATTTTTTATTTTTGATTTTTAATTTTAGTTTTATTTTTAATTCTTGCAAAAGCATGCTTAAGTCAAAAAACAAACATTTGCCACAAATCTTGTGATCCCGAAATTTTTAATTGACATATTCATTTCAGTTTTGTAGCTATTTGGCTTAGTAAAAGGTAAACCATTATTTTTTGTATTTCATTTTGAAGGCTTTACATATGAATCATTATGAGATTTATGTAAAATATACATCGTTTCGCCTCTCTCATAGAAGCCCTTCTCTCTATTAGCCAATAACTAGGACAAGAGATTTTCACATGCTTAACTTGAGGTCAATTCTTCACCAGCCAAAGATAGGAGCAAATGGTAATTACTTGGTGCTCGGTCCGGACTATAAGTTAGAAGCATAAAAACCTCCCAATTAAAGCTCTTAGAGCGACTGACGAGTCACCATCGATGCGTGTGGTCTGGCGTTGTCCTGATGATACACAATTGCCCTCCTGTTATCCAAAACTGGACGATTATGAGCGATTGTCGCCTTAATACGGTCCATTGGCTAACAGTATAGGTCGGAGTCAAAAGTTTGGCTGTTGAGGAGCAGCTCAAAGTGGTTGATTCAAAAACACACAACAAAAACTTTCTGGCCGTCAGTTCCCTCTTAGAGACCGTTTTTGTCGCCACACTTCCCTTCGTCCACGACCGTTGCCAGTGATACACTTTTCATCAACAGTCATCAATCGTCTCAGTAAGGTGTCGATTTGGTCACGATTTGACAGCGATTCGCACATGGAAAATCGGTTCATGAGGTGTTTTCTCGTTAACTCTTTTGGTACTCTAACCTGGAGCCTCTTTATGTATCAAGTCTTTAAGGTGGTATATAGCTCCTGGGCAAACAGGAAACAGGACTCACATGACGGTCAGACTCGACGATTTCCATATTTTATCGGCAGTGTCGATAATTGTACCTGCAGCAGCTTACGGAAAGTAACCCAAGTGCTATTGGGGTGTACCCAACGGTAGCATAGCGCAGATATTTTGCTTACACAGCTCATTAACTTGGTAGTATAGATGTTTTCCTGTGTGAGTAATGCGTCGATGACATCAGGAGGTTCCCTATCACGGTTGTTATTATGGTGTTCTGACATGGATGGTCAGCTTTACGCTAGTTCCCGGGATCCAAATCGAAACAGCGTCATTTGGGTTATTTATCATCCACTTACACATCGAGTTCGATGTGAATGTCGTGAAGATGGGCAAGAGTCGGCATGGTAAGAGTTTACTTTTGAAGATAAGTTATCAATATCCTGGCCAAACGACAATACCGGGCAGTCTTCTGCATAATGTTAACAGGCTTTTGTCAAAGCCCGGTGCAACCTCGACTTTACACGCGCAGTGCCGGTTTTGATAGACGCCACGAGCTATCTGGGTGTTTGTAACGTTAAGTGCGGTCGTGATATTGTGCACTTAGCGACAGCCAGAGATTGCATTCGCCTGCGCTACTGGGTAAAGGAGAGACATCTGCCGATAAGACTCTACTTTGTTCACTGGTTTCCCCAGTGCAAGCAGCGGGACACTGCGCCCAGTTTCTACATATTTTAATATTGTTTGGTGATCAAATATAGTTTGAGAACCCGGGTAAGATAGCCTGCTATCGCTGGACCAAAATGTTGTAGCATATTTTTCAGTATTTGGAGGCTTTCGACTTCCCGCTAAGCCCCTCGACGCTGGTGTTTGGCAGTTTGCGTTTCAATTTTCGCTTCATTAAGTCAATCGAAGGCCCCACTGTACAAAAGCCCAGCTAAAATAGCTCGCACACTCTTTCCGGTACGACGAAGCACGGCTCACGGGTCAACGTGCCTCGCCGGGTTTGACAACAATTTAACAGTGGCCCAAAGCTTAGTTACCCCAGAGTCGTAGTTGGAGTACCTTGACAATGGAGTTAACCCTGATCTTATACGGTCAAGCGCAGTCACCCTTTAGGCGACCTAAAGCCGTTAAGGTCAAAAGCGCGTGTTCTAAGCTATTGTTTCAGGATCACAAAAAATCAGTTTCAAATTTAAAGAAAAAAAAAAACTAATTTTTTGTTTTGTTTCATTAAGAATACGTATACTTCATGCCATAAAAGCTTAAATGTGTACATACATGCATATGTATATATATATATATATATATATATATATATATCTGTAAAATTTATAAACAAAACCATTTGACAGACAGAATTGACATATTGATCGCGTCTAGATCTCCTCGGCTACAAATCTACAAAGCCAAGAAGACTTAAAGACTACTACATACATATATGTGCATATGTATATGCTTATATGAGTGTACACATTTTGCATATATATTGTATGTATTGTAGTACAGCCCTTGACAATAAAAAAGGAAAGGCGCTAAATGTTCATTGTTTTTTTTTTTTTTGTTTTTTATTTTTATTGAAATTACTTCAGCAAATATTTGTTTTTGTGTTATTTTCTTATCTATTCGGTTTTGGCATTTTCCCCATTTTTTCCGCAATGAAAATAAACTATTTATAGCAGTTTATGTCATGAACTTTTAGTATGTGATTTTTTTTTATTGTTTTTGTTATTGGTTTAATACGATTTCTTTTATGCTACATCATTTTTAGTTTACGCTTTAATATTTGTTATTTATAATTTTTGTTGTTTTTGTTTATAAGTTATTAATTTCTATTTGTCTACTTCATTCTTTGCCATGTGCTTAATAAGGGCAATGGGAACTGGTCTAGTTTTAATAATTTTTTTTTTAATTTTTTTATATTTAAAAATTAATTTTTTTTAATTTTTTTTTTAATTTTTTTTTTAATCTGTGTTTTTCTACCACATAAATATTTTGTGAATTCTTGTAGTTCTACTTCTACATTATACTCCGTACAAAGCTTTCAAATTTAGGTGTTTTTTTTTTGTTTCTGTTTTTTTTTTTTTTTTTGGTTTATTGCCTGTAGGCGAAGCTGCTATCTTATCGACTTCCAGCTATTTATCATATCAAAGTTTACCTTTGAAATTATCTACTATGTAGATGTAGTGGTATGTACGTCAGAGCTACAAAAATTCGTAAAAAAAGCACATCATACATACATACACATGCTATGTGTTGTATAAGCTTACATGCATATCTACACACATACATGCTTATGTACATACATGTGTACCGCACAGCATGAATTGTTCTATGGTAAAAAGCACCAAAACGATTAAAAACCAAACTCGAATCAACTTGAGCAACAACAATAACAAAAAGTTAATAACTATCCACGCTTTGCTTTGTTTATTGTGAAAAAAATCACGTAATATCGCATTCCAACAGTAATAAAAACAAATATCAATGATGATGGTGAATGAGATATATAAAAAAAGGGAAAAAAAGAAGAAAAAAATTTTTTTCGCTGGCAAATTTTTAATTGAGTTAGTCTCTGTACGTTTGGTTAAATGCACTTGAAAATAGTGTTGGCTAGATGTTTGTATTTTTTTTTTACACACATATATATATATATGTACACATATATACATATGCATATCTGCAAGCTTATAGTTTTCCATATTATTAAAATAGTAAATGTTTACTATTTTTCAAAGAAATTATCAAGTCAGCGCTAAAAGTGGTAAATAATTACATATATGTATGTATATGAGTACTTTCTACAATTTCGCTGACATCAATATTTATTTTTGAGGCGCTAAGTGAAAAATATTGGTTAATTTGCAAATTTTTATTAAAATGAAATTATAGTTTTTAAGCCGTTACATTCTATAGACAGCACTTACATGTAGTACACCGAATGGCATGTCTTTAACTAGCCAAATATACAAGTTTTGGCGTAAAAATGATTTTTTGAACCAACAATTGTATGACAGCTACCTTTCAGAAACATCCAAAATCCAAAAATTTTTGCAGTTAACATTTTACACATAATTTGTGTGTAGAGTACCAAATGTTACATTTCTGACAACTTAATTGTACATGTTTTGAGGAAAAAATGGATTTTTGAACAGTCATTTGTATGACAGCTATACGTTATAGTCTTCCGATTTTGTTCATATTTACTATCTGTATTTAACCAGTTATATGTGTACAGCACGCCATATTTCAACTTCTTAGCGACATAAATTTTGAAGTTTTGAAGAAAAAACGTGTTTTTGAACAGTCATTTGTATGACAGCTATACGTTATAGTCTTCCGATTTTGTTCATATTTGCTCTCAGTATTTAACCAGTGATATGTGTACAGCATGCCATATTTGAACTTCTTAGCGACATAAATTTTGAAGTTTTGAGGAAAAAATGGATTTTTGAACAGTCATTTGTATGACAGCTATACGTTATAGTCATCCGATTTTGTTCATATTTACTATCAGTATAGAACCGGCGATATGTGTACAGCATGCTTTATATCAAGTTCTTAGCGACATAAATTTTGAAGTTTTGAAGAAAAAACGTGTTTTTGAACAGTCATTTGTATGACAGCTATACGTTATAGTCTTCCGATTTTGTTTATATTTACTATCAGTAGTCAGCCCAAGATATGTAAGCATCAGACCAACAAATTAGTTACTGATAATTTAAAAGTTTTGAACTAAAAATATTTTTCGGAACAGTCATTTGTACAACAACTACACGTTATATGTGTCCGATTACGACGATTATATGGTAACTATATGTTTTTTAGTCCTCCTTCTTTCGATTATTTCAAAGATGGAACTTCGAAAACTATTTTCAAACTGTACAAAAGGCAAACAGACTTAGTGACAGTCTCGTCTGACGAGGTTATTTCAACTCGCCAGTTCAGTCATGTTCATATACTTGTATATATTGTATAATTGGTCTTTTGTTTTAGAAGGATCTGGGTCTTTGTGGGCTGATGTCTCATAAATTCAACTCTCTCTCATTATTTATCGCTTACAAGTTTATTAAAATAAAATATGTGCCAAAATTATCCAACTTGCAGGTGGAAACTATTCACCGATTTCGATCACTCCATTATCAATGCTGGAGTGTTGCTTAAGTGCACAGAAATCGAGGCCAGAATGCTCTAGTAACTCCATTGCTCTATTAGCAACAATGTTTTTGTTTTTGTTTTTTTTTTTGTTTTTGACATAACATTGCATTAAGTAGTATTAGTAAAAGTATTATTCAAAAGCATTGCAAATAATCCCATCAAGTGTTATCGCAAAAGCGAAATTTTTAGATAATTCCACACACTTACCCTTGTTAAACTGCAGGCAAAACGTAGCGAAAAAGAGGGTTAGTAGGAGTAATGTGCCGCCTTTCATTTTTTCAGCACGTTTATTCGAGTTTTATTTATGGGGAGATTATTTGATTTATTTAAAATTTTTTAAATTTGTAAATTTGAGATTTTTTGAATTGCTTTGTAGAAATTTTTAAGATTGTTTTTAATGTTGGTTCGATCTGTATTGGATTTTGATCCTCTATTACTTTTGTTGAAATTTTTTTACTCAATTTTCTCCTTTTTTATCTGAAAAAAATTTGTATTATTAAGTTTTGGAATGTACATTAATCACAAATATATTTATTTTACTTAATTATATTTTATTTTGGTTTATATTATTTTAATTTATTTACATACACGTATACTTAATTTTGTATTATTCAAATTTTTATGCTTTATTATATTTTAATTTTTTTAACTAATTAAATTTTACTTAATTTTTCGCTTATATTTTTTACTATTAAAAAAAATAATTAATTTTATTTTAATTTTTTTTCATTTATTTTAATTTTATTATAGTTTATTTAATGTAGCTTATAGATTTTATTTTGCTTCATTTCATTATATTTTATTTTATTTTATTTCAGTTTACTTTATTTCATTTCGTTTTATTTTATTTTTTTAATTTATGTATTATTTAATTTTATTGTATTTAAATTATTATTTAATTTATATTATTTTATTTAAATTTATTTAGTTTATATTTATTTTTTTTTATATATTTTTATATTTTATTTATTTGTTTTTTATATGATAATTTATTTGATTTGTTTTATTTTATTTTAATTATATATTATTCATTTTTTCTTCATGTATATTTTATTTAATTTTAATTTACTTAAATTATTTTATTTTTGTTAGTTTTACTTTATTTTAATTAATTTTTTAATTTTTTTGTTTATATTTCTATGTATATTTGATAATTTGTTTTTCTCCATGTATATTTTATTTAATTTTTATTTTTGTAAATTTTTTTTAATATTATTTCGTTTTAATATATTTTATTTTAATTCATATATTATTTTATTTATTTATTTGTTTTTATCTGATAACTTATTTGAATTGTTTTATTTTATTTTAATTATATATTATTCATTTTTTCTTCATGTATATTTTTTTTAATTTTAATTTACTTAAATTATTATTTTATTTTTATTAGTTTTACTTTATTTTTTAATTTTTTTGTTTATATTTCTTTGTATATTTGATAATTTATTTGATTTTTTTTTTGTTTTATTTTAATTATATATTATTTATTTTATTGGTTTTAGTTTATTTTGTTTCATTGTATTTTGTTTTACTTCATTTTTCTCGTTTATATTTTTTATATGTTTGATAATTTTTTTTAATATTATTCATTTAAATTTATTTTATTTTAATTCATTTCATTATATTTAATTTAATTTTTTATTTTATCATATATAATTTTTATCAAAGTATGTATATTATTTTGCTTCATTTCATTTAATTTTTTTCTTTTCTTTAATTTTATTTTATTTTACTTTAGTTTAACTTATTTAATTGTGTTTTATTTTTTCTTTTGTTTTGTATTATTTGTATATCATTTAATTTAATTTTTTTAAATTATTTTATTCTGGTTTATTTTTTATTTTTTTATTCATTTTACTTTATGTTTATATGTTTTTTCATATTATTTTTTTTTTCTGTGTTTATATTTTTTTTTCTTAATTTATTTTATATAATTTTTTTTTATAATTTAAATTTTTCGCGTTTTAATTTATTTTTTTACCATGTCTTATCTTTATGTTTCTTTTTGTTTCAATTATTTTTTTTAATTTTTTCTTTTATTTTATTTCATTTTATTAGACTTATTTACTTTGTTTCAGTTTCTGTAGTATTTAATTTTAATTGATTTATTTTATTAATTTCATTTTATTCATTTAATTTGATATTGTTAATTTTTTCTTATTTGTTTTAGCTTATTTTATTTCATTTTATTTTACTCTTTCTTTTATTTTATTATAATTGTTTTATTTTAAATTAGCTTATCTTTTTTAATATTTATTTCAATTTTTCTTAATATATTTTTTTGTTTAATTTTTTTTAGTTTATTTTATTTTATTTAATTTTTTTTTTATTTTTTTTTTATTCTTTTTTCCCTTGGTTATTTTACTTTTTTTTCATTCTACTTTATTTTTTATTTTAATTTGTACTGTTTTATGTTGGTTTGTTTTATTTATTTTTCTGTTTAATTTGATTTAAGTTTTTTATTTTATTATATTAAATTTCATATTTTTGAAATTTTTAATTTTTTTTTTTTTATTTTATTTCGTACGTACACGTACACCACACTCGCACATTAAGTTTCACTGCTCTGTTTTATTATAAATTTTTTTTTTTTAATTTTCCCGCTTATGCGCTTCCAAAATGTTGAAAATCCTCGCATAAATTGCGTTTTTATGATTCACAAAATATATAAACAAGTCGTTTCAGTTATAAATAGTTTTGGGAAAGTCTGCCAGACGTAAATTGCATTGCATTATATTTCATTACGTACAAGAGCGCGAATATTTAGCTGCATGTATTTTTGTGCTTGTGTGTGTGGACACATGTGATGCGCTAAATACCAGTACAAACATTAAAATACTTGTACATTTTCCAAAAACAAACAAAAAATACTGTATTGTACACAAATTGCTCGCACTAAAATGAAATTCACACTCGCTGTGCTGCCGAAAAAAAAAAAAACAAACAAAAGCATATATTTAAAATAAAATTTACAAAACCAATAACAACATCAAACAGCAATGCAAGATTTATAATTTACTTATATGCAAATGCAATATGCAATATGCAATAAAAAGCAGCAAATCAATCGTATGTAAATTGACAAAGCGCTATATATGGAAAACTTGTGTGTGATCTCATTTAAAAAACAAGATTTTTTTATATTTATTTTTATTACACAGCTTCGCGCGCCCTTTATTACACAGCTTCCTCCTTTTAGTACTTTTTTTTACTTCTTTTTTCGTTTTTTTTTTTGTCGTTAGTTCACACAAAAATTCTCGTAATTATTCGCTTTTCTTTGTGCTTCCGTCAACGTTTCAATTGCACTTGATTACATTACATTATCATATGCTTATCAATATTGACTAGGTTACTGTAGTTGTTGTAGTCGATTTTTGTGTTAACAAAATTAATTAATAGCACAACAACAGTTGAACGCTTGGAAGCAATAAAAAAAGAGTCCCTGTAGTCGAATTCGTTTCTACTGACTAGCTGGTAGAGCTGTGTGAGACAGCAATACTTTACCGCGCTCGCATTTGAATCTTACTAAATGTTGGTACTACCGCCGTTTGGCTATATGCTACTTGGGCTGCACCACCTCACCGCTGTCGCTATGAGTACGAACTGTCAAAACGCCACACCGGTTGTTGTGTTGGTTGGTGTATGTGCTTTTATCGCTTCTCACTGTTATTACAGGCTTTTATCGCGCACTGCTATTTCGCTTTTTCTCTGCGCTCGTTCGACGGTGTACTTGTATTTTAACCGGCGATTAGTCACAGATGACGCGAATAACAACAATAAATGGAATACACTAAAAATACCTAAAGCGGTTCTGCAAGTTGTTTTGGAGGAAGAAGGCGCCAGAGACAATGATGGCGTGAGGTGTTTCGGCTCATTAATTAAGGTGTGCGTGTGGGTGGGTTCGTTTTGATTTTCGATTTTTGTTTTTATGTGGCTCTACTGCCATTTGGTTTATTATTTCATTTCATTACGCCATTCATGCGCCAAACAATAATTTAAGTTTTACAAAATATTATAAAATATTTGCGTATATATGTATGTATGTGGTTTTACAACTAAATTGTAAATAAAATCAATCACAAATGCAAAGTGTATATACTTTAGATGATAGGCTCAATTATTTCGCTCCTTCCTACAATTAAATCTCATCCTCTTCGAGTCCAGTATCCTCTGGTGGAAAATCGCCAACCTCTACCGCAGTTGGTGGCACAAAACCGCCGTAATTTGGCGCACAACTGAAGTAGCACTTGCCATCCACGCTGCGGAGCAAGTAAAGTATTAAAAACACAAACTTTAATACAAAAAAATTTGTTTGTATAACACATACCTGCCATTATTTTTGCCCAGTGGTTCATCATACTCAACTCCAATAAATATACCTTTCTTGCCCTCGATTTGGCCATTATATCTTACAGTACCTCGTCGCACGGGATTGCCGGGCACTGTTACCTACATTTTTGTAAACATTTTTTTTTTATAATAAACTCAAACCTTAATCTCACGTAAAAACACTCACCTGACAGCGTCCCCCTATGTGACACAACTCTGCACGTTCTTGTTCCAGCTGTTTTTGTTTTTGTAATTTTTCCTCCTTCTGTCGTGCCTCTTCTTCATTGTACTTGCCCATACGATTCTTTTTGAGAAAATTTCTTACGGTATCCTGTTTGGTCTCATATTGCTCATCGGTTAGCTCGAATTTCTCCACATCCACTATCCAATTGAAATTATCAATTACATGTATGCGCATACCCGTTTCTATGGGCAACGCACCCACTAGGATGGCGTCGTCTTGGAGTTTTGTAACCAGCCGGTCGCCATTATACAACTCCAATTGCATGGTGGCCGCATTGCCGCCGGTAATTATTTCCAATTTACACTTTTCAGTAAAGTAAAGAAAATTATAACTGAATTACTCATACGCAGCCGTGTGGGTGTGTTTAAACCGAAATTATTGGAATACAAACCTTCAATTGGCCCACGGTCAGACTTTTTGCAAATTTCAAATCCAATGCAATGCTATCATTCTTGGAGTTCGATATATTGACTTTCACATAATCTTCACCACTATTGATCTGTAGAGGCTCCATTGTTGGCTCAAAAATTGTGTGTTCTATAAAGGTTAGTTTAATTAAATGAAATCAGACTTGTACTAGTTTTCCCTTGTTTGTTTGCTTGTATCAGCTGTTGAAGTAAATTTAACTACTTGACAGCGCAGGCTTGTATTTTAACGTCATCAAATTAAACAACGAATTTAAATGTCGAGGTCGATAATGCAGTTCACAGTTTGCGGAAATTGGAAAATACCATACATTTTTTGCTTACATTAATTTGTGTTTAATTGTGATTTAAATAGTAAAAAAAAAAAAAAAATAATAAACAATAATTTTCGAGTCAAAAACGTACTATTATACTGCTACATTCTTTTTTTTTGACATTTGTGTTAATGATGTTAAAATTAATCATTACTTCCGTCGGCAAGTTATCGCTTATCGAAGTCGACGACTATTTCCTTTAATATCCACTTCCTAGTTTATTCAACGCGTTTCCGGCAAATAGATTTTCTCTTGTGCCTAATTTAAAATATTATTAGATATTGGTGAATTGCATTCTATTAAAATAAAAAATTTTTGTCGAAACGTGAAAAGTGATCTGGTGACTAAAACGGCGGAATATATTCAACTAATTAGTGTGTGCTTAAAATTGATGATGAGCTCGAATAAAAGACAACGCATTATATGCGTCAGCCTTTTGTATGAACGAGAAAGGCCGTTGTGCATTATATGCTTCGAGAAAAAGTGAGTTTTTTCATATTGTACAATGTTGAAGAAGACTTGAAGGCTAATGTAGTGAAGATATATTGGTGAAGACTATAGCCTTTCGTTGAAAGTCTTCGTAGCAGTTTGAACTGCTGGAAAAATATAAATGAAGAAAGGAGAAGGCGTTTGGAGGAAAATAAATTATCAAGGAAAAGAGGTAAAAAGCTTTACACAGTTTTTGATTAAAAACCTAAAATTCATTTCGAAATATCAAGAATATTTTTTGTTTTAAATTACTATATTTTATTTAATACAAAATGTCGTCATAGTAAATTATATTTAAGAATAGCAAAAAGTGTTAAGAATGTGAAATACGCAAAACTCCAAAGGCTCGAAGTAGCAGATATACTAGTATTACTATCGTAAACTTCATTCAAATGCACTGAGTCCTCCTTTGCTTGCTCCTCATTTTCAACGGAAGAGAAGTCTTCGTTGCTGTATAACTCAGCCTCAGTTGAGTAATTCGGTAATTCAACTAAAAGCAGATAAGATAATTGAGAGTATTTAATTGTGCTTCGGAGCATTTTTTTTTTCGTAATACCCACCTTCCCCACCCGTCGCAAATCTTACAATCTTACTACTCTCGCTCCAACCAAAGTGATTGCGTGCAAACACCACCACCTCATAGACGCTGGCCGGCTGTAGGCCATGCAACGTATATGTGGTTATGTGAATGGGACCTTAAAATAAAGAGATATAATTATTTGTTCTACAAAAAGTTGATATATGTATATATGTAAATAAAAGGCAGAAACTACCGGCGGATAGCTCCGATGGTATTGTCAATATTGTCCATTCAGTTTTGTAATCAACATCCAAAGTTTGTGGTGTGATGCTGGCTGCAAGTCAATAGAAAGTAGGCAAAATGGAAATAAAAAAACACTCTTCCCACGAACTGTGCACACTCACCTGATGGTATTTGTCGAAACTTCAATTTGAACTCCATTAACGCCGACAAACTCTCAGTCTGCCACACCAACACATGTGACGTCGAACTCTGTACGCCTGGATTAATTTTGAAGACACACGGCATCGGACGACCAGTCAAGTCGATTGCGGCGCTCTTAAAACCCAATTTATTTTCCGCACGACACTCATATAAGCCGAGATCCGAGTCGCGTACATTTCGTATAGCCAGTGTGTGCTTGATAACTGTGTTGAATTGTAAATTCGAACCATTTGGTTGTAACTCGGTTTCATAACGACTTATACGTGAATCGTAAGTCATCGGCACGCCATGATGAAACCAATTTACCACTGCACGCGGCACAGCCTCGATGAGGCATTCCAAATCGCTGCGCAAACCAACTTTTGTATAGACAATGTGTTGTACTAGGCGCACTTCCGGTGGAACTAGACAAATATTTCGTTAATTGAAGACACATTCCTTAAATAAATATTTATATCCCTCACTCACATTGCACTTTGAGAAACATGCCCGTTACCGCTAAATCGCCTATACTATTGTTAGCCACACAATCGATTGGTCCAGTTTGTGCGCGGGAGCCCACTTCAATTTGCATACTCAAACGATTTCCAATCATTTCATTATCCACCAGTTTGCCATTCCAACGCCAATACAATTTGGGTTGTGGCACGCCTCTCGCTTCGCAGATTACCTGAAAAACTGCACCAATTGGCAACTCGATAACACCTTCCGGTTCTATTTTCACTGTCGGCGCATATTGTACTATTATCGCGTGCATTTTCTTCACTTCCGTGTCATTGTCGGTTTTCAGCGCGCAACTGTAATCGCCGGTGTCGCTCGGTTGTAGTTGTGATATTTGTAAGCTGCCATTCGACCAAAGTCGTATGTGGTCTGGAGTTAGTGTCTCATTGCTATCACGTGAATCGACTAGGAGCTGATCCTCTTTAAACCAGCGCACGTACTGAAATGTAACTGAAATGAATAGAATGTGAGTATCACTACTTCGGTCGGTTTGAACTCTACAGAAAATTGGCTTGGCAGGAGCTGAAAGCCTCCAAAACGATTTATTTATTCCGCCGTCAGCGATATCAGCACTTCACGCTATTCTTAAAAGTAAATAAGTTGATACGCTCTACATTGAAAAGCAAAGTCCTCTCAGTTTCTTCAAGGAGGAAAAACAAAGCTATACAGATGGACGATGAAAAATATCTTTCTGTCGGCATTAGAAGCTCTCGAAGAAAGAATGCAGCTTTTGACGCAATACCTGCCGGTAGAGGTAAAGAAAGAGAAATAAAAGACGATACTTCCTTGAAAAGATAACTTGTGAAGGACCCGGCTTCACTCAGTGTCTGCAATTGGCACCGAACGATGGCGAGAAGAAACGAATGGCGTGATATTGCTGTCTCAGTTGTAAGGGATGCCTACGCTAATCAAGAAGGTCTTCGTTTCGCCACTTTTAATTCCTATGCATTAGTAAAGGCCGAGAGTAATATCTCACAAAGTCAAAAGTCAAACAGTGAAGAAATCCTCTCCATCTGCTAGCATACCACGCGACAAGTTCGCTTCTTGATGCAAAAGTTGCCTCTTGCAGTTCACTCACTGAGTTGTCACTGTGATGCTTTAGGGTCAACGCGCTGATCACACGCTATCTACGGTACTCGCCTACCTAGAAGGGCAGTGGGACTCTGTGAAAAGTGGACTATGCAAGGGATTAAATTTCAACACATCGAAATACTAGCGAGGTCGACAAGCTAGCTAAAAGGCGAACTGCCCTAACTACCATAAATTCTACACACGAAGTGAGTGAGCATAGCTCTTCTTCGGCAAAGTAACTGCCAAGATCAGCATTGACCAGTAGTGTCAAAAGCAGATGGTGAGGTGAAGGCACGACCAACGTAATCGGGCTGATCTGGCAGTTGATTGGGGGAAAGGGAATCAGGACCATAAGCTTAACAACAGGACTAATTACTGAGGAGTGATTAATGGTTATTCTCTTGCTTACACAGAGCAGCTCTCAGTGTTCCCCGACATCGCTTCTTCGGTAATTTTTATTTGGTCTGACCTTTGATCTCAGCAAACGCGAACAATCTCGTCCGTTTCATCAGAGATGGTGAGAGGAACATCTTTTCACAGATCCACCATAAGGATTGGGCCAGCATACCCAAGCGCGGTATATGAGGGTTCCACGATCGAGGAACCTCAACTAACTAACTAACTATCTAACTTACTATATACAGGCTTGAAATTCGAGAAAGCTATGAACCAAATATAATTTCACATTATTAAACCCGATTGGCGGTCGCAATGGCCAGCGTTCGAGTCCTAACTTCACCAACAACGAAAATTAATTTTTCTAATTGCGATCGCCCATCAGCAGCGAATGTCCGAATGTATATCTGACATAAAATAACACCTTCTCAGAAAAGCCCCTTAGTCGCTCGGAGATAGCTTAGAATAAACTGTGGATCTCTCAATTTGTTGGAAAAACATCAAGACGCATAACACAAATTCGAGGAGCATCTCGGACGAAAATCGCTTCAGCGGTTACAAATCGGAAATCATATATTTTTTTTATATATATTTATATATACATATGTACATATATAAGACTAACTGAATTAGAGGGATATCTATTACGTACAATGATTATCACAAGGTAACAGCACGGTATCATTTTCCAGCACTCTTCTGGTCAACTCTTCATCTCGCAGTCTTAACTCAGATATTTGCACAATATTATCCGAGCTCGTCAAGTCTGAACTTGCAACCGCAAAGAAAACCGCAGCGGAGATGATATGGTACGCGGTTAAAATGGCATGTGTCATTGTGGAATTATTTTTTCGTTTAATTTAAATAAAAATTTAGATTTGTATTTATTCTTTGCTGAGTGCGTCTATTTATAGCTTTTGCACTGTGATACACTTTTGAGTTGCAAGTTTGATCTTAGTGTTTTTAATTAATATTTATTTATTAATTTTTTTTTCTTATTAAATTTCTAAGCGTCACTGCTTTGGTTTTTCTATTATTAACGTTTTGTTTTTTTTTTTTTTTGCTTTATAAGAATCCGCGCATCTTCCACGAACGCCACACCACACTTCACACTAGACTATTTTCTTAGACACTCAATCAATTAAAGTTTCCGAAATTGCATTTTCGCCAACGTTGCGCATCGTTCGAGTGTTTAGCGCGAACTGAGCTGCCCAAATGTGCTATACAAAGTGTCCTCTGCGCTCGCAAGTAGAATTCTTGAAAGCTGTAAGCGCCGCTTTGCTGCCTGCCGGCTCAAGTGATTATTGCTGATCATAACGACGAGCAGAGTTTCGGTACAAATTGCGCGTAAATGACGTCGTTTGCTTCCGTTTCATTACTTTCCGTTTGTTGTTTTTTTTTTCTTTTTCTTTCGTACATTTCGCTCTAATCGCCAAATAAATGCAGACATTCATCATTCCAGTGTAGGAATGCACAAAAGGCAATCAGTTTACATACACACATACTTCTTTAATTGCATAGAATTATTTACAAACTCGAACGAGAAACAATTTTGGGCGTTTTGTTGTGAAAATTATGAACGTGCTGCTGACACATAACTAGAGATCATAATTAGAAGAAGAAAGTCATGGGAAGATTTTCGACTTTTCGACTGCATTGCGCGATACACACAAAGGCAAGTGGAAGAGACAAATTTAAATCAAAGTGGACAATAGTGCGGGCGTTATGTATGTATGTATGTATGTGCAAACAGAATACATATGTAAAAGAAAACAAATAAGTATTTACATATATGCATGCATACAAACATACATACATGTGAAATGACGAGTAGCGAACGGTGTGTCGGTTAATTCAAAAGCGATTATACAATAGCGAACGGAAATTGGAGAAAATATTATAGACAAGATGTCGGATTATAAGTGAGAGAGAGAGAGAGTGAAAGAGGAAGTGTTTACAGTTTTTTTCAACAAAAACTTAGCTGTTCGCCGGTGTAACGTGCAAAGTTATTTGACAAAAATGTAAATTAAATTTGAATATAAAAAATTGAAAACAAATGAAGATTTTGTGCTTTCTTTTTTCTTAAGTGAGAATAGTTTAATCTGTTCAAAGTCGTATTGTTTGAAAATTCTAAAGTAAAAGAAAATTCTCAGAGTAAAATTTAACAAAAAAAAAAAAAAAAAAAATCCTGAATACTTCCGTATTTTGTTTTCTTTGATTCCCATCTCATATGGAAAGAATTTTTTTGAGTTTCGTATTGTATGCTTATATAAGTGTGTATTAATTCCAAGCCACGAATTGTCTATTCTTCTCTTTATTATGTATCAACAACATTTCTGTGCATTTGCGTATAAAAGTATGAAGTATAGTAGTATGTATGTACCAAAATAGAATTAACATTGAATTATCCATCAAATTGGAAAATAAAAGGCAATTCTTTTTATGCCCAACCACGCTTTAGGGGAGGGTATATTGTATTTATTCGCATGAAAGATTTCAGTGCGGTGAAGTGCTGATGAGACGGATGAAATAAGGAAGGTAAAAGAGTATAATAAAGGAGCCCAAATGTGATGCTAGAAATGTGGCGAGAGAAAAAGTCCGTAGCCGTATACTAATGGCTAGATGAATGAACGAATTAGAAGAAATATAAGCAGAGATACGTTATACAAGCGCATGGAGGCTACCAATAAAAGCTGTTTCGCACGTTATTAAAAACTTTATCAGTTTGACCAAACAAACAAGCCTCCAATACAAGGTGTTCTCGAATGGTCGTCGTACATATATCTAGTTTTATAGACATACCTGCACTCCAAAGTCCCAACTTCGGCTCGGACCAGTATTTTGACACACACGCCTCTTTGAAGTTAAGAACGCCCACAAAGAAACACAAGAGACAGTCAAATAGTTTTCCAAACGACTGATTGATTGGTTCTCGACAAAGACGGTGGTACGATGAGGATTACTGTGAAGAGAAAAGGACTACCGATCTCGGAACGTTTTAATTGACGGTAATGCGTGTCGTATGGGAAAGGGACTTAAAGAGGTAAACGTGACGCATCTGCACTCAGAAAAGCAGTGAGACCGAAATGCGTAAGTATGAAGGGATTCAAAAGCTCTCCCACAGTGGGAGTGCTTTAAAATTCTATGAGAACATACGCTAACATACTTGTTTTCGAAGCCGCAGCATACTGATGTAGGAAGTAGAGAGATTAAATTATACATCCGAACATAGCAAACCCATATACCCAACTGATGAGGTTTGAAAAGCAATCACACGCTTGAGGAACAACAAAATGGTGCGAGCCGAAAGCTTAGCCGCTGAATTATTCATATATGACAACTAAGAACTGTTAAAGTGCAGGCATCAACTTCTTTGCAGTGTATGGTCGGAGAAAAACATGCCCGTTGATAAGATTTAAATAAGCTTTACCGAATCAATAAGACGGTAAACCCCACTGTCTGCGCCAATTAAAGTGCGAGAAGCTTCCTCCACGAAATGATCGGACGTTATTCAAGTAGCTTCATAGAGCTAGTCAAACCACCATTGGAAAGGATCATGGAAAAAATTATCGAAACACATTTTTGCCATCTCATCCACTAGTCGGCACAATGAGTTTTTAAGAAAAATGTTTTGCGGAAGACTTAAAACCTTAAGGATGAGGATGGAATGTTAGCAGACGATAGGGAGAGCCTGGTTTGACTACATCTTCCGCTACGAAGGTTTCCTATACGATCCCCCGAAGGAACGATCTCCACCGCAGTCTAAATATCCGAGTCTTTATTATTGATCTATTGTTTTTTGCTGAATCGCCTGTCTAATATTCCGTTCCACTGAACCTCAACTCCCCCTTACATGTTTATTTACATTCTTCCATAAGTACGACTGGCAGAAGAAAGCGCTACAGCGTAGAAGAAAGCAATAAGTGGTTGACAAAAGATGCATAAATTCACAAACAAGACAACAAATAAACGTGTAGTTAAGGCAAATAAATAATGTAACTGTATTTTAAATGATATTGAAGATGTTATTTACTAATTTTAATGTCACATTGATAAGCCGAAGAGATTAACTTGTGGGCGGGGTGCGAGCTAAGAGCGGATTGAAAGGCGAATAAGAAGCAAAACGGTGGAAATTGTTGTTTTTTATTGCTCAAACAGAAGCCGAACTCTGAATACCATAACGGTTGTCACAGTTTAGTTTGATTTTCAAAACATTTCTTTATTCTTAGTTTCAAAACAAGACCAAGCTTTGCCAATTTAACTATAAAAACTGCGCTTAATTTAACCTAAATTTTATTTGTGTTTTTCTAATTTAATTTTTTTTTTTAATCTATTTTCCACACACGCTCTCCCAACTGTCTTCTGATTTTCTGAGTGCAGCGTCTTCGTGTTGTTTACACAGTTATGATAGTTAGTGGTAAGGTCAGCAACATTGCGACACAAATCGACCATCTGTCGCGCAGCTCTTTAATTACTTTTCAATAATTCCAACTTCAAACTCCGCACACACACGCCCAAACCCACAAACTAGGCCGAAGACATACCAATTGCTGCACCATATATCAAATAGTCGAATGCGTACTTATGCTCATACATATATACATGTGTATGTAGGTATGTATATAGATGAGTGTGTTACTACATTAATTAAGTATTCTTGTCAACAATGCTTAGCCGCTGTCGATTGGCGTGACCGATGTCAATGTTCATCTTTTGGTTTCTATACACACACACACACACACACACACACACACGCGCGCACTTCTCGTTGGTGGTATCATCGTTCAAATTCAATTCAATTTATGACCAATTACTTCATTAAATTTAACTTAAGCCAGCGCATAGCACATTCCGCCATATGTATGTATGTATGTGCAATGAATGGTCAATGTTTGGGGTATTGTTATAGAAATTTATCACCAATGTTGTTGTAAAATATTTGATTTGAAAATAAGTTGTCCATTTTTAGTATTTTTTTTCTTTTTTGGGCCGCCTAATGTCAGCAGACACGAAGTGGAGCTTCCATCACAGCTTTCGGGTAAAGATATGACGAGTAAAGATATGACGAATAAAGATATGACGAGTAAAGATATGACGAGTAAACTAGCAACGGTAAGCGCTGCTCCTCCACGGTTTATATATATTTGTGGCATTCTAATCGCTTTTCTGCCGATTTTCGCCCGATCTCCACCTCCAATTTCTGGTGTGCGTCTTGCAGTTTTCCTAAAAAACGGAGAGACCTACAGTTTAAACTAAGCGGGCTCGGTGGTCTTGACCGGTGGCGACCATAATTAGTTTTTAAGCTACTTTAAGGGAATGAGAAGATGATTTAAATACCTTCGAGATGTCAAGATATTGATATATCATTATCGTTTTCACCTTCGTCTTGCTCATGCGAGCTTTTTTCGGACGAGGGGCGTGCGGAGACAACTATTGTGAGCTTTAGCGTTTGGTTCCCGGGTCGTATTGAAAAAAGCAGCTCTCATCGCCTGTAATAACTCGATCAAGTGGCGTGCAAAATTTTATAGCGACGTGTTGCCCTTGATCTCGAGTTTTCATTTTCGTGACGAGCACCACGAGCAACACGAGCACACGTTTGCTCAACACGACACAGCAGGCGAACTAAACAAGCTAGAGCGATGGAAAATACATCGATGGAGAGGAGAAGGATGCCGGGAGAAGGGAAAGAGAATTTCAAGGTTGCTGGGTTACCATGATCGCGGCAATGTAATCAGTCTCATTGCTTAAGTGTCACACCTCGTATTACCTACCTTACTGCAACTGAGCCTCAATTCACTTAAATCGATTTATTTGCGCCTGATAACCGCTTAACTGTTTGGATACAAATGAAAGAAGCAGCCGCCACTCGACGCCACCTACATTGAACCCATACATAGAATGACGTGCTCAGATTCAAAACCCCACACATAACAAACGAAACCCTCGAGCTGCCTCTCGAAACTCTACGCTCCACACGAAACTGATTTCCTCTTTTTATCTATGCTTTTTTCATATGGAACAACTGCGTCGAAATGGCACGTCTCTTGTACCTCAATTTAAGCTCATGTCATGAGTAACAAAGCAAATTCAGGCATGGTCTACACTGTTCGGTGTTCCTTTTGCGTATAACTTTGCTTAGAAGTTGGTCGGCTAAGACTTTCCCTCACAAACTTAACTTAACTTATAAATATTGGATCGCTTCTCTCTTTCGTCGTTCATGATATTACCTCAGACTGGATTGGACTTAAGTGAATGCTGTCCAGCTTCAATCTATGATCACCGAACGGGTCCAAATTGATACCACAGACCACCCCAGTTGCTGGAGTCTCCAAAGTTTGATTCACCCTTAACTCATTCCTTCAAAATGGGCGGCTTTCGTAGAGGAAAATATATGTTACAGATTCAGCTTCCTCTGTACAACTCCAGCGGAAGTTAATTATTGGTACGTCCAGGTATCTTGAAGAGCCTGCCAAATAAAAAAATGTCCTTTAAGAAGACCGATAATTCTCTACATTTCCTTTCTATTTGGCGAAAAAGTTCTCTCAGGCTTTTTTATCCAGTTCCAGCCGCAAAATCTTCCTCAAATTATCACAAATAATGCTCACTGTGACAAAATTTCTCTTAAAGGGAGCTTTCAGTAGGGAAGTGGAAGTTCCAAGCCCTACCCTGTTGGATTGTTACTGTGTCCAAACGTCCAACCACACAAAACAGTTTCAAAGAGAACACCCTACGGATTCGTGGATCAAGTGATTAAACTCCTCATTTATCGTAGCTGTTAAGCCTTTATATCGGAATGACCCAGATTCTTACATTGGAGAGACATTTTTTACGACGTCCGCCAAAGGAACAGAACTGGCAAGCCATCACGTTAAATGATTTGCACAATTCCAGATTGTGGTAAGCCTACTGAGCTCTACGCTAACTTTATTCCTCTAAGAAGTAGAGCGATGTTTTTGCGAAGGTAAATCTCTCTGCGAGTTTTCTGTGGGACTCTCGTTATGTACCTCGAGCCTCGACTTGAAGATTTGTTTAGCGTTTTTCGAACGGTAGTCACTGTCATCAAGAAAACCAAAGACCTGCCAAAAGCTTTGCAGGGTATCTTCATTTCGAAAGAAAGGTTTACTTTGAAAGTCAGTTGGCTATTGAGGTTCTGGACCACCTGTAGCAGTTCACGTACCAGTCGATTATGTTGTCTTATTCCACAAACCGGTTAATTTCGAATGGCGTAATCACTGAGAACTGTTGAGCCTGAGAGAGTGTAAGCTCTAGGTTCAATAACACTGTGCAGAGTGGAGGAGTGGAGATGCATTTGACTACTTACGTGCGAATTACACGTTCCTTCCAGCGTTGTTTATGCTATGGGAGATTATTCGAATCGCTCGATCCTATCAATCCATGGATACGATATACTAATCTCAGCTAATCTGAAAGCTTTTGCTGCTACCTACTGTGCGAGCTTGATGGAGGAGAACGCACTAGAGCCATGTGAGCACGATCTTCTCTGCTCCTGTTTCTTTGCTAATACCTCAGTTCGAGATCTTCATCCCCAGCGAGAGAGAGAGAGAGAGAGTTTCGAGTGATTTTAGCAAAAAGCTTAAGAAGTCTGAAAATTTCATCGAGTTTTCAATTCACGTATCGCCATTTTTGGTTATATTTGTAATAAATGTAAAACTTAACATTAAAATCTGATCTCTAAAAAATTAATTATTTACAATAATATAGGATCACACATACATAGGTACGCCTACTTATTCCTAAAGCTTAAACTCCGCACACACTAACACTAGAGAACCTTAAAAGCAATCAATAAAAGTCAAACCAAACTAGAAACATTACTCGCATAGTAGCCCGTGGCAGGCAACCTGCCGGTCTTGCCATTGAGAGCGTCACTCTCCTCGCGACTATACCCGTAGCTTCCTACACCATTGTGTATCGAGGCGGTTGTCACAGTGCCAGGCTGTGCGACTCCTACACAATCGGTCGGCTCAGGAGACCGTACACCAGGTTGTTCATCCAACAGCGCCGTTTGCATAGACAGAGCGCTCCTCAGACCGCTGCGCTGCACATTCACATCAATTGGTGGCGCTACAAAGGGTTTCGCCTTGAGACTGCTCCTGACGGTTGGATCTCGTATATAAGTATTAGGCAACACTTGACCGTTCAGATTTTCGATACTTTTCACGGCATTCGCAACGTTAAATTTCGGTAAAGCATTCGTGTAGGTGGATATCTCCTCACCCGGCGTTGTTGTTGTTGCCGTCGGGGTGACACTTGTTGGCGCGCCTCTACACTTGCGTTGTGATAAGTCGTGGAAGTAAGCATCTTTGGGCACATAACGTTCCGGCCAATAGTTGGTTTGGAAGACGTAGTTCTGTGAGTCTGGTGAGTCGGTCGCATGTGTGGGCGTTGAACCGTGCGAGGCAGCGACTTTGCCGTTGTCCAAAATGTGTTGCGCATATAACGGCACATTATTGGCATGCAACGACGTTTGCTGCTGTAAGCTCTCAAGCGAGTCGAGTGCGTCTTCACCCGGATGACTCTCCGTGTAGGAGGAGTCTTGTTGGTATGCGCCTTGCTCGAGGTAGGCTTGCGTCGTCAGCAGACCACTTTTACTTTGCAATCGTTGTATTTCATTGAACTCGCGGTTTTTCAGTACAAACGCAGACTTCCTTGTGAGTTCGTGAGGCTCTCTGCCTGTTACAACGTCCAGCGGCAAGCCCACCTCTTTCAACAACGCCGCCTCTTTACTTTCGCTTTCGGCCAGGCGTTGCACCTGAAAGAGCTCATCTTTATAGCCGAGCTTATCCTCTTGTGTATACTCCGACTCGTTACGCGTTTTCGCCGTCGCCGCTAAGCTGTCGTCAGCTCTTTGATGGCTCTTACGCAGTGCGCTTATCACATTCTGTATGACGCTGCCGCGCTTTTGTATACTATATAAATATTCCAGCTGCTTTTCGTTGCCGCAACTTACAATCGGCTTGTCTCTGTGGTGCAGTTGCTCCGCAGGTGAAGCTGTCGATGACGCGGTTGTTGTCGCCTCCTCTGGCGTAGCCACAATCGCTTTACGCTTCGCAGTCACGTGTGGTATGCGGAAATTGCAGTTGTAATCGGGACTGGAGATGGCGCCGGTTTCTGAGCTCAGTTGTGCTGGTGTGATGTTAGAAGCTTCGCTATTGGATGGGCTTAAATGCATGTTTTGTATGTGTGTGGTAAGAGCGTCTGCACGCTCGTCGCCTGTATCTACATCCAAAGCCGTGGATGCTGCTGCAAGTACATTGCGTGGCTCAGCCTCAATCTGTGCGGGCACCTGCAGTAATGTGTTGGTCTTCGCAAGCAAACTGCCCAAACGTTTCGATACATCGTAGAAATCATTGTTGGAGTCTTCGCTTAAATGATTTTGCAATTCTGTCGCGTGCGAACAACATTGCGTTTCGCCCCTGCAGAGACCCACAGCTGTTTCATTGGCGTTGGCATCGAGCAGATCGTAACTGCGTGAATTCGCCAACTTACCCTCGGACATATCGACTTTTTCGAGAAACTCCAAACTGCGGCAACGTTTCAACGTGTCGTACATTTCACGTGCCTCCCGTCCACGCGACGTAACGTCTGCGGTTAGACGCAACGGATCGCCACGTTTCAAATAGTTCTCCAAATAAAGCCGTCTGTTCTCGCATTCCACACGATCCGCTATCATGGTGCGCGTTAGCTTCTCGATTTGGTGATTTGTGCGTGCGGCCAGCGCCTGCACTTTGTCGTCCAAATGCTCCTTCGCGTAATGCACGTATTTACGCAGGTGACGCTTATTTGAATTGATCTTATCCTCAATGTGTTTGAAGAACGGACCGCAATAGCAGATGTTGCCAATACCAATTGGACCTTTACGTATGTGCCCGGCAAGATCCAGGTAATATTGTTCGCCGCGCTTTAAGGGCTCTTTGGGCAGTGTCTCGAGCTTGGGCGATGGAAAGGCGCGCATGTCGGGAAAGTAGTGACAGCCATATGGCGACCAGCTGACCTCGTTTGAGTGTGCCTTAGAAGTACATGGACCCGCCGGCGCTTTCGTTTTCTCCTCTTCACACGTGCCTGGCTTACTCTTCTTATTACGTATGCGATGCGGATTGTCCAGGATGTCCAAAATCTTGCCGAAACCCTTGCGTATCGCTATGTCACGCGGCGTTTCACTCTGTGAATTGCGTATATTGATCTCGCACTCAGCCTCTAGTAGTATGCGCGAGAGTTTATGCCTGCCCATGGCGCTGGTTATGTGTAACGGTGTATCACCATTCAAATTCTTCTTGTTCACATCGCAAAAGGCAGAGATGAGTATGCGCGCGGCGCCGGCATGTCCATAGCGGCAGGCGGTGTGTAACGCGGTGTCACCATACTGCAAGGGAATGAGAAATAAGAATTAGTAAATGCAGAAATATTCCATAACCAATCAACCTCAGCACTCACATAATTCTCAATATCTGCGTTCGCGCCCGCCATCAATAGCTCTCTGCAACTTTGATTGTGTCCATTTTGCGCGGCCAAATGCAAGGCGGTGAAGCCAGCGAAATTCTGTGCGCCCAGCACTGCGTTTTGTGTGCTGCCACGATTTTGTTTGGCCGTCTCATTTTTATGTTTGCTCTTCGCGGGTGGTTTTGTGCTGGTTTTGGGCGTACAAAGCAATTTTACCGTCCGACTAAAACCACGCGACGCCGCTTCGTGCAGCGGTGTATTGCCTAATTTGGTCTCTTTCGGTGTAGTATCGGGATTTCCGGTGAGTAGCGTTTTTAGCATTTCCTCATTGCCATTGGCGGCAGCCTCATGCAGGCTAGTCCAGTCTTTGCCGCGATCCTATGGGAGAGTGAAGAAGTTGAAATGAGTAAAGGATGTTTGCAATTGTATTCCCTTTCCCACTTACCTGACTAATTGTATTTGGCAGCATGGTGAACAATAGTCTTCAGCGTGCCGATAGATTTCTGGTGTGTGTCTGTAAGAATACGAAATGAAATACTAATATTATTTATAAGGAATAGCAAAAGCTTTCCAGGGGAAGCTCAAAGCAAAAAACATTTTTCACAATCCAAATTACAAAAAGAAAAGTCAGACGAGCTGGTTGAAGAAAGATCTTAGATGTTGAAATATCCGTATAAGCGGCGGTTCCGGTTTATTTTGGCAGTAAACTCAGCTTTCTCGCTTTATTATGAATTCCGAACTTTGGACTGTTGCTTATAAGCTCAGCTTAGAAGCTCCCCACTAGACTCAAAGTCGCATTTCCGACGAAGTTGTGTGGACTTGAGGGTTAAAGCAAGAAAGGATATGAATGATTTTGACCCACAAACCCCAGGCGCCTTCTGGGTTAACTCGAACTAAACTGAGACTCACATTTGACTGAACCATCTATTGCAGACAAAGAAAGAGTTCGAGCTCGAGTGAACCGGTATTGGTATGACTAAGATCTGTATACTGCAGCATGAAACAGCACGTTTCTTGAACCCCTCGTTAGATGATCTGGATGACTTCCTCAACCAGAGTTAGCAAGCCGGTATAACACCAAAAACGGCCAGTATCAATAACTAACACACTTCCGCTGACAGTATGGCAATAAACATTGAAGTAGTGGATCTTGGGAAGAGAGTCGGTGACGATGCACCTTACGCCACCCACCCATGAAACTATCATTTAGACTACCGCATACCTGGTCATAAGGACATTGTTAATTTTCCCGAAATGAGATAGGAAAATATTACACCAATTGTATTTCTTGTACTTCACTTGAGAGTGTGCTCGAAAAATGAGTTCTAACAAGTCGCTGTCTGAGAGTACGGCAAGCAGAAAGACCCGGACGGGTTAACGGCTCAAGAATTTACCCGTGGTAAGGCCTGTCGTAAGAGGTGATCAAAATCCAATAGATCACACAGTCGCGTGTTTATACCGAAACAACCCGAATTTTTATGCGGCCAAGGACTCACTCCCGCAATATTCTCCGAAAACAAATTCTGAGAATATTTTGCGACTACAAAAACAACAACAACAACCTTAAAAGAGATCCTGCAGGGGCGGTAAAACTGCAATATTCAAACGACATAGTCGGCCAGCAGTGTCGGTAATTCGAGCAATCATGAATCAGTTTAGCATCGAGTTTACTCTAGCGGATAGTCTGCATCCTCAGAGATGCCGTACAATGCGCATCGCAGAAGAAGTCCATTCCCCATTGCGCGCAACAATTGCAGCTGCGCCCTTCCACTTTTTGGAAGGATCTGGGCTTGCGAACTTGCAAACACCAGCTTGTTCAAGAGCTGAAACCGAACGCCCATCAATCCCGAATTGGGAATCTTGATGTAAACGACCTTTTGTTCCTACAAGGCTTTTGGTGAGCGCATTCTTTCGCGTCGCGTGGCCGCTGCGCTATATTTTGCGGTAATTTACGAAGCCGCTTGTCTAAACAGATAAGCCCGAGACGATTGACGCCTTGGAAGAGATTATTCGCTGCGCTATTGCTGATATGCGGCCCCAAATGCTATGAAAAAGGTCGAAAATTCGGGCTCTCAGCTGGAATTTATTCGGGCCAGCCGTGGCGGTCGTTTGCACGAAATCATTTTAAAACATAATTATAATAAAGCTAAACTCTTGGCAATAACATTAAATGCTAAGTGTTTTATTTTTTTTTTTTTTTGAAAACCAAGTGTCTAAAAGAAATAATTTTTTTCTTTTCGATTTTTTTATTGTGTTAAACATAAATTAATTTAATTTTTTATTAGTTTTTTTTTTAATTCTTTTAATTACTTTTTATTAGTAATATAATAAAAAAAATTTTTATTAATTTTTATTTATTATTTTATTATTATTTTCCATAGAGTTACATTTTTGTGAGTTCTTAACATTTATGGATATTTTTTAGTTATTTAATTTATTTTATTTAAAATTTTGTGTTTATAATTTTCCTTAAAGAAATTATTTATTTGCATTTTTTTTTTAATTTTTCATTCATTTTTTTTTAAATTTGTAATTTATGGCGTTTTGATATACATTCCCATTGTACTAAAAAAAATTAATATTTTTGATTGATTTTTTTCCATTATTAGTTAGCTTTTTAGCATTATTGCGTGGACTTCTTGCCTTTTCGTCAATTATTTCTGGCTTCTTGCAGATTAAAATCGCTCAAAAGTATTAAAAAACAAGAGATAGTCAAGAAATGACTTCACGTACTTGTATTTTTGTATTTTTTTCTTTTTATGTATATCTACAAACATACACAGGTATATCAATATGCATTTATTGTGTTTATTTTCATTGATGTCTTTAGTTTTGGTTTTTTTTTCATTTGCTTAAAATTAAATTTTTCACTTCACTACCTAATGCTTTGCATATCAAATAGCAATAAGCCAAAAGACAAACAAATAAATGAGTAAATAAACAACTGAAAAGGCAAAATACGGCTGAGAAGCAAATAATTCGCTCTGCAACTGCGTAAGCCGAGCGATTGACGCGAACAATAACGCAAGATTAGTTGCCACCAATGCCATTGGCCTTCATTAACTGTTTACTTGGATTTGCTTTTTATGTTGTTGTTGTTTTTTTTTTCTTTTTTTTTTGTTGCGCCAACCGCCGCTTGGCCACTAAAAGCCAAAAAAAAAGGGGCCACACTTGGCTCTTGGCTATGCACATTATTTACCGCACACACCGTTGTTGTATTTGTTGTTTTTGCAGTTACTTTTTTCATGAAAATTCCACAGCCAATACATACACGTACAGCAAATGAACTGTATTTTTCATAATTTACATATTTTCTATGCAAAATTTGCAATTTATGTAAATTTACCAAACGAATTGACGTTTATTTGTATGAAAATCGCATAAAACTCTGCGCGCGCGTGTGTGTATGTGTGTGTATATTTACGAATATGTTATTATGTATGTAATTATGTAGGCTATTGATTCCCACTGGTGGCTTAAGCCTACGAATTGCATAAAAAGACACATACTCACACATACTCACACACACACACACACACACACACACACACACACACGCGCGTATTTACATATTTTTCGGAAACACACTTACAGCACACTCGCTTTAATTCAATTCACTTTTCGCATTTCTTTCGCCAATTTAATATTTTCAGCATAAAATCTGTGTGATCTCAAATATTCCCATAAATTTCTTCGTGCAAAAGTTGCTTTCTTTCAGTTAACAAACGCGCAGGCGTAAAGTTGCACCATAAAATTCCAATACTTAATTTGTAATTTTTTCATACATTTATAGGCTGGTATTTGCACACACACTCACACACGCGCACACCGTCACAGGCATACACGCACCTTTACTCCTTTACATATGTAGTTGTGCACACGTACAACGACACTTACGCACTTACTCGGTATTATAATATTTATAAAAAAATAATAATATTTTTGTATGTCTCTATCAGCGCGAAAACGGCAATGAAGTACAACTATTTCTCACACCACCGTTCGCCACATTCATTTCGTCCCATGTCTTAACGTAAACTGTGCGTTCGGCGCAAAGGTAAATACTTAAAATGCATATCTGCGCTTTGGCGGAACCGGTTTGCGTTGGCCAACTCTCGAGCTTGGCTTAGAGCGTGTTCACGTTGGCTGATAGTAAAAACATATGGGCTGCTTTGGAAGTTGGTAGCTGATCGAAATTTGTTGGTTGATGGCAACCCGTGGTGAAGGAAATCAAAACTTTTGTGCAAAAATCCAATTGGCGGTCTGGTGTTGTTGTAATATTCGATAATGTGATTGACTGAATGCGAGCTACTATCTTCTGTTCTGCACAAAGGAAGAGCTTGAATCAGATAACCGACTCTGCATTAACCAAAATTTAAAAGCATAGTTTTTCGGTACTCTGAAGTCTAACGACGTCTAAATCACGAAATGACTAAGATCTATCATCTGCACGGTTCCGAAATTAGCTTTCAGTGGGTTTAGATGATTTCCCCTTCCCTACACTCATATTATTATTGTTGTTCTGGGGAATGTTCAATGCTCGATTTCCTGGCAACCCTCGACCGTTTAAACTCTGTATGGTTCTCACAACTGCCAAGGGAATTTTGTAATTTGAGTCGTCTCTTCCCACAAACATGCCTTCTTCTTCTTTACTTGTGCTTATAGACGTGCCATTCATTCCATCCTTTCGCTGTTTGACGCCAATTACAGGTGCCAAGTACAGCCGAGTCTTTCTCTACCTGGCCTTTCCAACAGAATGAAGATCTTGCTTATCCTCTGCTTCCACCGCCGTATATTGGATTGAAAACTTTCAAAGTTAGACTATTTTATCCATCCGAAGAACATGACTGAAGCAGCGTAGCCGCTGTCTCTTTATCCGTCATATATCTCGCAAATGATCAGCAGAGGTTTTTACTTGTAAATAGCCTACTCGGTCCAAGGTAGCAAGATTCTGCATTGGACTTCAAGGCTTCTATTGCTGTTCATGTTAAGTCAATTAACTTTGGCTTTTGGTTGAGTCAATACAACTTCAATGCTAAGGAGACGAATACCTCCAGAAATCGTTACAAACTTAGGATACGTTTTGTGATATACAGATGGTCTCAAAACTTTATTTGTGGTTAGCACGGCTATATTAACTGACATTGACCATCATCAAAAACTCCATCAGCATCCGTAAAAACCTCTATGAGCCGTTCGATACCAAACGGGTTTCAAACAAGGGGACTCCATAATCGATTGCTGGGGAAAATAATAACAGCTGCAGGGCTGAATAAGTACAATCTTCTATAAGAGAGCACGGCTGTTGGCGTACGGCGTTACTATGGAGTTCATAGAGCTCATTAACCGCGCCGTGAGTTCTACTTTTTCCAGAGCGTATGGGTCTGTTATACTGTTATAAGACCAATTTTTTCAAAATAACCAACACATATTGGGCACATTCGTTCACTCATATACTAGTTCTTTACCATTAAATCAACCAAATTCAATCCAAAAATACTTCAACAATAATAATGTAATATAAATCAACGATTTTTATTAAATTTTGCTTCAAAAAAATTTATTTTATTTTCAGTATAAATAACTAAAAGATATTAACATTTTTCAACCAATAAAATATATTTAATTAAGATATTCAAAAAAAGAATTAGACATTCGTTTCATTTACCAAATTCGTACCGAATCTTGCACGAAAACAATTTTATGAAGTTTTTTCTGGTCAAATCGTTTGGCAGCACTGGTTGGCAGATGTCAGTTTATACGCGAATATTCTCGATTTTCATTTCTCTACCAACAGTCGTACGGAACGTGATTGCATCAAAGTATTCGATTTGTAGATTTTACAAGCAAATATCATCAAAAGGAAGTTTATTCTATAAAATATTTTATATTTAATCAATTTAGTAAATTGTTTAGTAAATAAATAAGAAAGTAAATATGGCAAAGTGGGGTGAAGGTGATCCACGTTGGATTGTTGAAGAACGCCCTGACGCAACGAATGTCAACAATTGGCATTGGACTGAGAAAAACGCTACGAATTGGTCCAAGGAGCGCTTAACACAGTTATTAAGCGGTATCAAAATTAGTAAGTATATTTCGCAAAGCCTTTAATTCAAAATATTTTGCTAGAAAACAAAATCTATGCTATGGGATATTTCAGAGAAAGATCAATTCGAATGCGATATTTATAAAGTAGACGAATGCTTCGGCGAAGCTACGGTTAACAATCGTAAGGGTAAACTTATAGTTTTCTATGAATGGAGATTGGTACTTATATGGACTGGAATAATACTGGATAGTGATAGTGAATTAGACCATAAAGGAAAAATTACAATACCTAATTTGTCTGAAGAGAATGATATAGATGAAATCGAGATAACCATATCTATTGATGAGTCCAATGATGAGTCGGAGACCCTAAAGGAGTTTATGTACAATGTCGGACGAGATGTCGTGCGGAAAAAATTGGCGTTGTATATTAAGGAATTAAAAGAAGAGTATTCTAAAAATTTGATACTTCCATTGAAGGGTGAAGTGAACGCGGATGGTTCACCCAAAGTGAAACAGCCGGCTTCCAGTGCCGCTACAGAGACTAATCTATTAAATAGCATAAATGCAGTGAAAGTCAGCGATTCCCCAAAGAGTGACGTTGGCTGTAAATTGGACGTAAAGTCATTGACAATGACCGTCGAGTTCAATTGTACTGCGAACGATTTATATAACACCTTAACAAGAGATAATATGATAGCTCTTTTCTCGGGTGCACCTGCTAAAGTAGACGCAACGCGTGGTGGCGCGTGAGTATAGCGTTAAGTTTTTAAAAATGTTCAAATTAAGTGCTTACTTTACTTTATTAGATTCTGGATCTACGGCGGCAATATCTATGGCCAATTTGAAGAGTTGATACCAGAGAAAAGAATAAAACAAACTTGGCGACTTAAAAACTGGCCATCAGGATACTTTTCTGAAGTTACAATGGATCTTGAACAAAACGTAAGAAATCATTTTACGATAAAACATTTTAAACAGCTTATGTATATTAAATTGATTTACTTACTTATGTTTACAGAGATGCAGCACCCAATTGAAATTAACACAAACTGGCATTCCTGCCTCCGAATTTGATGGCATGCACGCCAATTGGCATCGCTATTACTGGCAGAGTATTATACGCAAATTTGGTTTTGGTAGCACTCTAGCTGATATATTGTAAAGCTCGCTGTGTGACTGTCGTCGATGTGTAACGTGCAAGCATTGAGACAACAAAAAAAAAAAAAAGAATGCTGCGTTTAACAAACCCATCAACTTACAAACATAGGTAAATGAAGGTAAATAGTGTAAAGAGTAACAATAGCAGCAACGACAAGGATAGGCAACATTATAGGATATTTAATGTTTTTTTTTTTTTAATTTTTTTTTTTTTTAGATTTTATTTATTATAAATATTAACATCTGACAAATGTGGTCATCTCAATAATTTTGTACACAAAATATACATTTGCAGAGAAATAAGTGAATTGTTAATGATTGCGCAAAAACATTTGTTTTGCTCAATAACACAAACTTTTTGAGAATTCAAGCAAATCATTTGAATATCTGCCATTTTGCTTTTTAATCTATATATTTTTTTATTTTAAGAAATCAGCTTGTCTATGTAATTTCTTGAAAATGCAAAAAATAAAAAATCGCAAATAAAGAAAAAATCTGCTACACAAATTGAAGAGTGTGTTTTATTTGCTTATTATTTTTTTTTTTAGTAGGATGGTTTGGCTTTGTTGTGTTTTCTAAAATGGGCTTACAGCAGGCAGTTGTAATGTAAATGGTTTTTGGTGAATTTTTCGGGTATGAAAGTCCTTAGTCGGGTGGAAATTCGGACCGCTGCGGTGTTAATACCCGACTGTTGCGAGAGCTATTAATTTTTGATCCTCTATTACGCCAAACTCTCTCTCGAGCCCCAAATCAGTAGTCACTTGTTTTAGGTGACCGAACTGTTTATTTACTGTTTATTATTCATGCGCGTCAAAAATGTTTGTGGTACCAAGGCGAATTGAATACAATGAATTTACTACGGCGTGAAAATCTGGAGAATTGTGAACAAAGAATTTGTGCGATTTAATGTCAATTGATTTTCAACGATTTTGACAGCCGTTACGCTATTGCAAGAACAAACGCTACCCAAATATTTCAAAAAAAAAAAAATTAATTACAGCAATTCATTCACAATTGATAATCAAGCATCACAACTAATATTTTGCAAAACACAAGTAAATCAAAAATTTCTTGGGCATTTCTTGAACAGAATGCTACTTTAAAAAAAAATAAAAATATTTTCAAAAAAATATTTTCAAGTTTCATGTCTTTTTAATATCAAAATTCAAATTTGCTGCACTTTCAGCCCAAATGTATGCTACAAAAACGACTGGAATTGCACACAGAAGAGCTTAACGGTACTACCGAACAGTGTATTGGCAAAGAGCACAAAGTTCGTGTTTCCTCGCCAACATAATCGCTTACATAGGTACATATGTGCGTTTGCATTCATTCATTCATTCATTAAGACAACAAAATGACACCCAGCCCCACACACAGACACTACATGCACATACAATTTGTAAATGCATTAAGATGTTTGATGTTCACACGCTCAGAGCTTTCCAGAGAGATGCGAGAGCAAGCATCTAACATAATAGATACAGAGTTGTGTTTGTTTCAATTTCCAATGGACACTTGCCATCAAAACACCCACCCGAAGGTAAGCACATAAACTCATGCACACACACAGTCATATATATGTACATACATATGTGCACAGAGGCGTGTGAATTAAGATAGCGCACAGCATCCTGTTTTCAGTGCAAGAGTATACGAAGAACGGGATAAAGAGGCGGAGAGAAAGAAATTCAGAGAAGAGTTAGATAGATAGAGAGAGAGAGAGAGAGAGAGCAAATAGGAGAGCGCTTGATTTTTATTAAGTACAATTGAAAGACTAAAGACTGATTACTTGCTCCGTTGATGGTACACATTCAGTCCCGGATGAGATTTGAAGCAATAAACTTGAGTTTTATAATAAGCGTGTATACATTTAGGCGTACCAACATAACCAACTTACTACTTACCTACTTACTACATACATATACATACGTATATACATATATATTTACTTATCTACGAGTATACATATAAGTGCATAATATTGCTAAGTTAATTCAATGGGATTTAAATAAAACAAAAAAATTATTTTTAAATTAATTCCATTGTGTCATTGTACGTGAGTTTTTCCCCGCCCAGTGTTTAACCGTTAATCTAGTTATGCGCGAAAAAAGGAAGAAAAATCTGTGAAAAGTAAGTGAGAAAAATTCCAAAAGCACAGAGCGAGAAAACTGTGTTTCAATACAAAAGTGAGTTGAGCAAAAAAGAAAAAAAAATAAAAAAAAAATAAAAAAAAAAACAAAATCAGGATACCCACAGCTAAAAGCCTGTGAGACAGAGGCGCGAAGGCGCAGAGACAATTTAGTTAAATTAAACGTTGCCTACATTGATCATTGGTGCTGGTACATATGTACATATGTACATACCTGTGTATGCATAATAATATACATATGTACGTATGTACATAGATTTGTAGTGCTAAGGCTAAATATTAGCAGTTGAGTGGGATTTGTATGCGGATAATTGCTAAATGAAATTACTAAAATTCTATGATAAAATTTAATTAAACAAAGTGAAAGTATAAATATATATGTATATATTTGTGTGCGCGTGTACATACAATACATATGTGAAAAGATCTGGAAAAGTGCATAGGCAAAAACATTAAAAATCTATTTCTATATCGTCCATATAGCGTACACCGTTTATATGGCATACTTTCAGGCGCAACACGAGCAACAGCACATCCAACAGCAGCAGCAGCAGCAGCAGCAACAACAACAGCGCGTATAGTCTAAAAATGTGTAATGTACTAGTTGGCTATTAGGGAGCGGCAACTCCGATAGGCAGCAATGCAAAATACACGCGTGGACATACATATACATACATATGTACACACAGAATATAAACTCAAGCATGTGTATGTACATATGTGTGTAAGTAAGTTTAAATTTCACGCAGAAGCATATGTGAATACTCATCAAAGCATGTACACACATACCTGTACATACATATGTATGTATGTGCAACTGAAAGATTGTATGCTATATCCTAGTTGTTGTTGTTGTTGTTACTGTTTGGCTGCTGTGTATGCGTTTTCCGCATTCCCCTCTGCTTGCTGTCACCGTGTGCTATTCATCGATAGCTGGCATAACAGGACTTTCTATGTTACATACATACATACGTACACACGCACATACATACAAATATATATACCTTTTATCTAAGCATATATGTACATATGTAAATACACATACATGCACTCGTATATAAATATGTATGTCACTATGAATACGCGCCTGCGTCCGTATATGTGTACATACGTACAGTTATTTATATGTATATGTATGTTTGTATGTATATGTATGTGTATAAGTGCTTTCTTCCAGTGCTCTCATTTTGATTAAGTTTTGTGAATTAGTAAAGTGTGGTGACGGCCATACAGCACAATGGCATTGACAACAATAACAACAACAGCAACAGCAACAGCAACAGCACTACCAACAATAGCAGCAACAAATTCGGTAGCGTTAGTGATAACAACAAACACAACAGCTGTAAATATTAATATGAAAACAATAAAACAACAACAATAGCACTCAAAACTCAACGCATTAGCAAAAATATAAAAAAAAATACCACAACAACAATAATAAAAATGTTAAATTACAACAAAAGCTGGCTATTGTCTTGTTTTGTATGTCTTATATGAGGCGCGCTTAAAGCAACAAAAGCAAAATAAACAAAAATCATCGGCAGCCACAAAGGCGTGCGTCACATGCATACCAACATACATATGTACATATATACACGGTTATGAAAAATATGTAGCGATAAATGCAGTGCGATGTGTTTGCTAAAACAAAACCAAAAAAAAAGCAAAAAAAAAAACAAAACAAAACGTGCAATCGACTAAATGACATTTTGACAGCACAGTACGTGTATATGTGCGTGCGAGTGTGCGTGTGTGTGTGTGCTGCGCATGTATGCATGTAAGTCAGTAGGACAAGACAGGAAACTCCTTTATTATTTTGCAAAAGTGAAAATGAACTGTCAAACTGTTCATGGGTTTGCACAAGCGACAACAGTAGCAACAACTAAAACAACAACAATAACAACAACAACAGCAACAAAAACAAATGTGGCAATGCGACGACGTGTACGTTTGAGTAGGCACGACGACGACAACAATAAGAATCACAAAAACAACAAGCGCGTCATTTATAAGAAGAACAAACAGCGGCAAATGCAGGCAAAAATATTGAGCAGCGCAGCGGCAGCAACAGCAGCGGCAAAGTCAACGTTAGCAAGCACAATCACAATGCGGTAGGTATATATGTACATATGTATTGTATTGAATATTAACAGCTATGAAATATGAAATATGCATTTATGCACGCAGTGCGCCTATTTGTAGGCTATTAAAAATGCATTAGCATTAGTGGCATACATCTGAGGGTGAGGCATAACTTAGATAGCGCTTAGTGTAATGAATTTGCGTTTAATCTTCATAGCTTTTTGAAGTCGAAAATAAGTATAAGTTAGGTTAGTTTGAACTGGTTACGCCAGCGAAACGATACCACATTCAAAGTGTTACTAGTCACATTACAGATGACCGGTTGGTGGAATCACTGTCGGGTCTCTTGTTTAAAGTTCACTGATGTTCTCTTCACAAATTAATGTAGTCGTGTTGGCTCTTTATCCAGATGTCATTGAAGGTTCTCTAACTTTTCTACGCCAAGTAAGTTAAGCCTCTGCCTGCCGAGCATACCCTAAGCTTCCTGCACTTGCTGTGCTCTACCAGGAGTAGACTGAAAATATGCGAAGTTGACAGGCGATGTCTCCTACTAACAACCTGGAGCCGGGGCTCTCTTTAGGTAGTAAAAACTTACTAACGTTATCCGTTTTTTCACATATTTAACACGATTTGTTACCAAAACCTGCTCGCCACTTCGAGAGAAAATCATTTCTTGCATGTGCCTCACTTCGGTCGAGCTCCTCTTGCAATTTGTGGTTTTGCGTCTTATTGTTTTTCCAACAAATAGAGGGACTTACGACATATACCAACCCGCCTCCGAATGGCTGTTGGATTTTTATAAGAAGCCTTTATTTTGCGTCGGAAATACACTCGGAGGAATATTCATTCGCTGCCGAGGGCCGACCGCAGTTAGAAAATATAGCTTAATTGTTCATTTAAATTAATTTTCTATGGCTTTCTGGATGTTAGTACGACACCAGGATTTGAAACCGAGCCTTCCGAATGGGAGTACGCAATGCTAACCACTCGGCTACCGAGGTCGATGGTCTATCGAAGATATATATATATATATATAACTGGCGCTGAAGCCTATTTTCGGCCGAATCGAAGATAGCTGACGTAGAAGTCATGAATCTAATGAGGTTTCATTAGGGAATCAAAATGGATGGATAATGAAACCTGACGGTTAAGTTTTTGTGGTATCACAATGGGTTGTAGTCGGGCCTTAGTCAGGTCTACGTGAATCCGAATCGAAAGATCGGTAGCCATTATTACCTAACCATACCTAAAGTAGACTCTTAATAGTCACTTGGCTATCTAAGTCTATCTGAAGAAGTTACTTTGAAGCGATTTGCTACTACATACTCGTATGTATGTATATACACCTTTACCCGGCTAGACTTGAATAGGTCTCTTTTCAGCATTATGCAATTCGATTGTTGTTGTGACTATGAGTAAACTTACTGTTATCCATATTACATACTGATTTACCAATGTTGTTTCTATGTAATGAACACCGACACTACTCAGTGTCTTGTTACGACGGAAGCTACACTTCCAAGTCAGTACATCCGATAGGCAGATCAATAAGATGTTATAACTACATTTGTAACTGAGTACATACGTGTGTGTACGAGCATGCCGGATGTTGCATGTACAGATGGCATAATAATTTTCGTTGGCTCACGGCCAATGTTTGGTGGATGCACATGCATTTCGTACGAGTGCAGAGCACAGAGCGATAATTCAAAGTTGGATTTTCCACTAGAAAGCGAAATTAGTTTCTTAAAAAGGCCAAAAAAAATGCAAAAATTTGGAAGATCTCCAATACCGCTGATAATTCTAGCATAAGTAACCTAATTTGTTTTTTTTTTTTGTTAGCTTTTTGTAAAGAGAGTTACTGGTGGGAGCATGAAATGAATTGGAAATTGTCTCATTCCAGCTGCCACACCATTACATTGTGTTCCACCGTACACGAAATCTGTCTCCTTCTGAGTATTCGATGCCTGGATCGCGTGCTTTCGAATACTCAGAATAAAAAATCTTCAAATTCGCAGATCTCTTTGGGTGTGGCTTAAAATGAGACCGAACTAACCTGATTTTGGTTGTGCAATCACAGAGAACTAGGGCGAACTTCAGTGTATATCAAATTGAGATGCTCTAAACAAAAGCAGACTTCGAAGTATTGTGTCGAGGTAATGAATACCCTCGGCTGTGTGGCTGAAACTAAGGCGAGTGCATACTTTAAATTGCTTAGACAGCCAAAGTGGATAGTCGAGGTCGGTACAAATTAGTCGTGGTATCAGAATGAGCCAAGCACTTGAACTCAATCTTACCTCCTGTAAAATTAAATCTACTTTATTCGAAGTCCAAGCTTTGTCTTACTTCCTCAAATCCCCTCAACTTTTTCCAAGGTGTGTTGTTGTTATTAGAGCAGCTATTCAACCCTGCTTGGCAGCAGACTATACTAGTTTAAGTTATCAAGATCATCAAACTGGAGGCACAGTAAACGAACTATTTCGATAAGCTAGAACTACAGGCAAAGTGGGGTGAGACAAGTTGATTTTAGACTGCATGCCACCTCTTTGATTAGTGTCGTGTGGAGTCTCTCTACATGCAGAACATACGTTGGGTATGTTGAAGTCGAGTATGGTTAAGTAAGAGTTTAACCTGCTACAGTATCTAGACCTAAGTTGTGCCAGTGTTACGCGGCTCTCTCGAGGCAGCTCGAGCTTTGCGTCTGCTATGGGTGGTGTTTTAATTCCGAGTACGCCATTCACAGGAAGGGAGTCTTTGAAGGTGTTAACTAACTTCTGGTGAATGGCTTTCAGTACCTGTCTGTACACCTTGCAGTCCAGTGGTTGTTGAACGCGTTACTAGTTGGGATGGTGCTTTTTGCCTGGGTTTATGTTAATATGATACCTATTGTGGCGCTCCCTGCCTTGTTTAATCTTCCTTAGTTTCGCTGTTGCGCCTCGAAATTCTAGCAATGCTTTAATACCGGTGCCAAAAGATCTAGTGCTACCAGGATAGTTCGAGCGCAGAGCCGGTTTTGGTTAAGACCATTAACTATCTGTGTGTTTATAGCGTTGAGTGCTGTTGGGAGAAGCCAAGCTGATGTGCTGCCGGACTCAGATGGTGAGTGAACGTGCTGTAAGGCCTCAAGTCTTCGCAATTGGGAAGAGTAGAGATATCGACCAATATGACTCTCCGATATCCGTTTCTACGCAACTCTTACGACAGCCGGTGCTACTCACTGGAGTGACCCTGTTTAGTTCAAAAGATTTTTTGATGAATGTTCTTAAGTCAGATGTGTTATTACAGGCAACCATCGCTTTCGAGCTTTTATGTCGGTTAAACCCAGCTTATTTAGTTAAGTTTCGCTTGTGGGGCTTAATTTTCCAGCTTTACCAACAAATGTAGCTTATTTCCACCACCTTGCTTGGCGGTTTTAGCATCCTTTCGATGGTAGGGCTCATAAGTAGATTAAAAGCGCTCATAGAGACTACCTTTGGTCCCATTACTTTTATCTTTAAGAGGAGCGTGGAAGCAAACTCATTCTCCTCCTTCTTTGTTCCCCTACCTGGTTGAATGGTGGTCTTCGATGGCAGAGTATCTTTCCTACCACAGATCCCACACGAAATATGCGTGCCTTCATTTGGATATTGTAGTTTATATGTCACAAGGACCTACTTATTCTCCTCCATCATACTACCTTACGTTGCAGCTTCTAATCAGCGGCGTTGTAAGCCTTAATTTGAACGAGTTGGGTTGACCCAGTGAAGAGAGCAAATATTCTAGGTCCATAATATCAAAGATTCGCTCTTAAAACGTTAGCGGGGATTATCATCAATAGTGTTGTTATTCATCTGCGGTTTGTTGATGGTTGTTGTTGTTGAAGCTGATTTTAAGTGCCGAGTTTTAAGCTTGGCACACTCGTAGCGAGACCTCGTCTGAGCAGAACCAATAACAAGACTTAAGTGATGCTTAAAACGGCCGCTTTTGCCGAGTGGTTATTAGTACGTACTACCAGGCGAAAGGGTATGTGTTGGAGTTTCGACCAAATCAATATTTTAAACTAATTTTTATAATTTCGGTTACCCCTCGACTGGGAATGTCAACCTCACCGAGTGTAGTTCTCACTTCAAATAAAAGCTGTTCATAAAAACCCTTTTGCTGTTCGGGGGAAGCTTAGTATGGAATCCAGTACACAGGAAGACCAAAGCTCTTTCTTAGCAGGAAGACTAAAGCTCTCTTAGCACGAGTTAGTTAATGAAACTCGCTTGTATGCTTTGCGACGAGGCTGCTGGTTAAGAAGAAGAAGAAGATAGTCATACACAAATACATATGTAAATTAATGATCGTATTTTGCACTATTTTTGATTACTTTCCAGATCCGTTTTAAGGGGTTAAACCTTAATTCCATCGCTTTGCACGAAAGCTTATTAATCATCTGGGTACTTAGCAACAAAAGCTTTAATTGAAGAACAACAGCAATATATTTGCACAAAACTATCAGAGGAGATTTAAAAAAAAAAATAAAAAATAAAAAATAAAAATAAGTCAAAACAAAAAAAAAAACTACGAGAAATAAAACTAAAACGAAAGCAAACAACTCGATAACCAAAAGCTATAAATCATCAACACAAAGTACATACACACACCCACACGTACATAGATGCAAATCAAAATGGGTCCGCTACTCTTGGCACGACTGGCGATGACATCGCACGGGCCGCCAAGCATTCTGGAACCGCTCGCACCCTCATTTCGGACAACGACCACAACGACGACGACCACAACCACCACCACAACAACAGCGGCGACGCCAACTACAACATTAGCGCCATCATTCTTCACCACGATGTTAGACAATGTCACAACCGTTATCATTTTAGATAATGAATTAGCACAAAATCAAACAAATGCCACCTCGGTAATGTTCGGACCGAAAGCAGCATCCTACTCAATCACTTCGATCGTGTTCATGAGCCTAATTGCCGCCATACTCAGTTTGCTCACGGTGACGGGCAATGTAATGGTGATGATCTCATTTAAAATCGATAAGAATCTACAAACAATCAGCAACTACTATCTCTTCTCATTGGCCATGGCCGATTTTACAGTCGGCTTGATATCGATGCCGCTCTTTACGGTGAACATGATTTTGGGCTATTGGCCATTGGGTCCACATATCTGCGATGCTTGGCTAGCATTGGATTACCTGGCATCGAATGCGTCGGTGCTGAATTTACTCATCATCAGTTTCGATCGATATTTCAGTGTGACGCGACCGTTGACATATCGCGCCAAACGTACGACCACACGTGCGGCCACCATGATCGCCTGTGCATGGGGCATTAGTTTGGTGTTGTGGCCACCGTGGATTTACAGTTGGCCCTATATTGAGGGTAAACGCACGGTACCGCAATATGAGTGTTATATACAATTTATCGAGACCAATCAGTATATTACATTCGGCACCGCATTGGCTGCATTCTATGTGCCCGTGATGATAATGTGTTTCCTCTATTATCGCATTTGGCGGGAGACGAAGAAACGTCAAAAGGATTTGCCGAATTTGCAAGCCGGCAAAAAGGATTCGTCAAAGCGTTCGAACTCGAGGTGAGTGTGTGTGTGTGTGTTTGTGTGTGTGAAATATTGAGTTGACGATGATAATGCTAAATAAATTATTTTTTTTTTCTTTACAGCGACGAGAATACCGCCGTAAATGTGAATCACACGGCCGTGCTGCCCTTGGGTAAAGCAGTTGACGGTCAGGACAACTGGCGGCGTCCTAGATCTGAGTCGTCGGCCGACGCTGAGAGTGTTTATATGACAAATATGGTTATCGATTCGGGTTATCAGGGGCTGCATTCGCGGAAATCAAGTGTGAGTATTCTTGATGACCCAACATTTGATCCGAAGTGTGTAAATACTAGAAGAGGAAGAGATAAATCCATCAAAATTTCTGCTTTACACACATATATACAAATAAACATTGAGACCGAAAGTAATAGAAATCGGAGCACTATATCATATAGTCCCCATACAATCGATTTTTTCAGATATGAGGTTTTGGGTCGAAAATTTGTAAAAAAGAAGCATCTAAGGGAAAGAAATTTTATTTACAGTTGGTCGCCACACGTACATACAAATATTTAATATGTCATTATATTGTTATAACCTTAAATTTTATATTTATATAATATTAAGTTGCCACGGTGAAGCGATTTTCGACCAAGTTCCTGCTCCAAGTGACTACATGATTTTTTAACAAATTTCCAACAATTTTTTGAATTTCGTATTTAAATTAATTTTCTATAATTTTTGAATATTGATCGAAGCAGGACTCGAACCCTGATTGCTCTTCTTTTTTGTTTTTAAATTCTTTAAAATTCTGCTTTTAGTTTTAAAATAAAATTACCTGAGCTTTATTAAAAAAAATACTACAACTTTGTCACCAATAAATAAACAATTTTTTTTAATAAATTTATTATTTATTTACTATAAATAATATTGTATTTTATATTATTTGAAGCACACAATTAGGCAATTTTTCTTTAGTTAAAAATTAATTATATAAAAAAAAAATTTTTAATTTTATTATTATTTTTTATAAAAAAAATTTATGATTTTGTTTATAAAAAAAATTATTTTCGATATAATTTTTAGTAAATATTGCCTGCAGTTGAATTTAATTTTGTTTGTAATTTTTTATAATTTAATTTCATATATTTTTTATTATTTTTGTTATGTGAAAATTTTACTTTAGAATAAAATTTTTAATTGAATATAATTAAAGCATACATTGCGGCGAAAACACTTTCAATGATTCCATACATTTTTCCTTCATAGATCAAAAGCACCAATACACTCAAAAAACCTTATTCATGCTTTGGCGGCGTCAAGGAATGGTGCATTGCGTGGTGGCATTCCGGGCGTGAAGACTCCGATGACTTCCCCTATGAACAGGAGGAGCACTCGGATTATGGGTAAGTTGATGGATGAGATAAGATAATAAGTAAATATTAAAGCACTGACTTGTAGAGAGTGCAGAGAGGTGAGTAAGCACTGAAATGTCTTTCTCATAAACCGCCTGAGAATTACACTTAAATCTAAGAGAAATATTTTTATTAGGTGTCTACCAGAAAAAAAAAACTATTCATGTTTTCTCTCAATAACAACTAAACAAAAATGCGTGCTTACATAATTTTTAATATTTATATTAAAGTTACACATCGCTCATTCACTCATTCCTTACTCACTTCTTTCGCCTCTTTTTCAACACATTTTCAGCTGCCCTTCGGTGAGCGTGGTACGCGATAACTATTCATTGGGTGGCAGCGCCTGCGGCGTACGGCCACCAAGCATACTACTACCGGACGTCTCGCCTACACCATTGCGCCCCACTATGACATCACTCTCCCAACTACAAGAGATCTCCTCAGCATCGGGTGCACGCGACTCACGTTCGCTACCAGGCAATAATCGTATCTCCTCACGTTCGGTAAGTCAGGATTCAGTTTATACAATACTAATACGACTACCCTCCGACGGTGCCAGCGCCACAAATGGACCCGAAGCACCATCAATCAAAATGATACACGAAGACGTATCAATGCCGATCATAAATGCGGCAGCACCGACAGCGGCTAGTGCACCGCCACCCGTACGGCGACCACTATCATCGAGGGATTCCGAATATAGTTTACCATTGGCACGACGTATGTCGCATGCATCACACGATGTACGTATACCGTTAAATGCGAAAGTAATACCCAAACAATTGGGTAAAAATATGCTCGGCCAAGCGCGTACGGGTGGTAAGAAAAAGAAGAAATCACAAGAAAAACGTCAAGAATCCAAAGCGGCAAAGACCCTCTCGGCCATTCTGCTGAGTTTCATTATTACTTGGACGCCATACAATATACTGGTGCTAATCAAACCACTCACCACCTGCTCCGATTGTATACCCAATGAGTTGTGGCAATTTTTCTATGCACTCTGCTACATCAACTCAACCATCAATCCGGTGTGTTATGCACTCTGCAATGCATCCTTTCGTAGAACGTATATAAGGATACTCACCTGCAAGTGGCATACACGCAATAGGGAGGGGATGACGCGTGGGGTGTATAACTGAGTAAGGCCTACAGAGGGGACGATGATGCGTCGCCGAGAGGGTAATGCGGGCCTCTTTGAATTGAAACAAAATCCCAATACAAAATTTAAAACATAATAACGGTAAAGGTGTGAGCCGAGCTGAAGTAACGTGAAGTGTGGTGAGTTTATGAAAAGTACGCGACAAGATGAAGTGCTGTAGGAAAGTAGAGAGTAGGACGCTCTAGGAAGAAGAATGAAGAATAAAGGCGAATGGAAGATTTTGTGCTAATTGGGTGGGTAAGGGTTAAGTTTATTGTATAGTTATAGTATTTATTAGCAGTTTATATTGTATGTTTCAATAATGTGGTTTAGGTATTGTCTTTACATATATATATACATACATACAAAAATACTCGTACATGCATATATGATATTAAAATATTAAATAATAAAATTATTATATATATATATATATAGTGATAATAAAAAATACATACGCACATACATATGTACATACGTGTATGTATATGTGTGATGTGTGTATATAGTTGGTTTCCGGTTTTTTGTAGACACGCACATACACGTACATACATACATATGTGCATTCATGGGTGTATACTCGTATACTAGTGAGCCAACTTGTAGATATTCGTATATATATAAGCATACATACAAACATATAATGCATACTCGTACACATTGCAACACCTAGATATCGGAAAAAAAAAACAAAATAATTTTTTTATTTTAGCACCAAAAACAACTGAAAATAATAACTATTTTGAAGAGAAAAAAAACCAAAATATGTATGTGTCGTTTGTAACCTAAGGACCCAAGTAAGGATAAATTGAGTTATCTATGGAAAGACTTGATTCCTTTAGTTTTATTCGTGTTTGTATGTATATTTTGTTATATATATGTATTCGTGCAATAGGAAACAATTTTATACCGCCAAAGTACTGATTTTTTTATATAAATATAAATAAAAAATATTAATAAATTTATTATGATAAATTAAAAAATAAGAATAATATAAATTGAATTATAATTAATTGATATAATAAATGTGTGTGTGTATTAAAATATTAGCATATTTCTAAGATAGAGAAAAATAATAATAAAAATAATATTTATATACTAACATACATACATACTTATAATAATAAAATATATAAATAAAAAATTAATAAATCAAAAATTTATTAATTTTCATACCGCGCAGTGTGTGTTTGTATGTAAAAATAAATGAAAACGCACATCAAAGTGAAAGAAAAGTAGATAACAAAATAGAAATAGAAAAATATGAGCATAAACTTAATAACAAATCATTAGCATAACTAGTTATTAATTATATACATACATACATACATACTTACACATTAATCATAGTTTCCTACATAAGCACATGCTGAAGTACATACTCGTGTATGTGCATAAGTAGTGTGTGTGTAGTATGTACTTAAGCGCCTACATGCAGGCGTTGGCCTATGAAAATAAACAGCGGAAAAATAGTGCAAACTATTTAATTAAATGCACATACTGTACATACCTACATATACGACCAAACTGCAGCTACCCAAATCCATATGTATATGTATACATGCGTGTATGCGCGCACATTTGCCTATCCCTATGTAAAAGCATACACACACACAAACATATGTATGTATGTTTGTATATGCATATGTATATATGGGCAATTGTGCGCGCATACTACATTAGTCAAGTGCGAAGAGAAAACAGAAGACAAGATCTAAAAGGAAAGCGCACATACCGTTAATCCGTTTCGTGTGAACGCATATGCAATTTTTGTAAACATACCATTCCACAAATCTACGTACATACATACTCGTGCATACTCGTGCATACATATAAATAATGAAAATTATATCCTGCCAGCGCACATACACGTATATGTACATACATACATGCTCGTACATTTATCATATATGTATGTATGTATATGTATATTATTTTTTATTGATTTTTATATTTGTTGCACTTCAACAATGGAGCATAAGTTTGTGTTTTTAATTCATACAAGTGCACGGCAATTTGTTTTTTTTTTCGCTGTCTCTCTCACTCTCTCTGCCTCTTCCTCTGCTTTAAACACTTACTGTGTTAGCTTTAGGGTGTGTCGTTTTCTTTTTTAGGCAAATATTTTCTGTTTATATGTATATGTATGTATAGTTTTTTATTTGTCATTTTTGGCTCAGCCGATTTTTTTTATCGAACTACCTTATCGACAATAACTGATCCAGAAAGGTATGCACTACACCTTTTCGCTTTCGTAATCCTACTAAATTTTTTCATGGTATTTGAAGCAAAATTCATAGAAAAAGTAAGAAAAGTACGGTATTCCCCTGTATCATCCTCTGCTTGCACCAGCTGATACTGCATCGTACAGTTTCTCAGCTGGAGTGCACTCAGCCATTCGATTGAGAGCTCATCATCTCATCGACTGCGGTATTTGCCGCTACCAATGCGCAAAGGACCAGAAATTTACCGCTAAAACTTTTCCTACCCATTGAATGTGTCATATAGTGGGAGGGATTTGAATGATGAACGACAGTTGGAAGCGTAATTCTGCTTCTGGTTTTCAAGGCGTAAAATGTGTGATCTCCCTTTTTATGGATTGGGAAACACACATCTAAGTTCTAATCATCCTTCATTCTTTCGCCTGACCATATTCTGAATATTCTTTAATTCTTTATTCTTGCAAAAAAAAAACGAAATGCTCTTAGAAATAATATAGAACTAGTCCCGAAGCTCCGCAAGACCAAGAAGTAATTAGGAAGAGTGGAGAGCGGAGCGGTAAATCCGGCCGCTCGATAACTTTAATCGCCTTTTTCTCGAAATCACGTTTTTTCAACTGGTTGACACTCTTATTTAGAACCTATTGAACTTATCGACATGAACTACACGAATTTTTACTCCTGAAATGTCCCTCTATAATCGGTACTACAACCATAGAGAGGCCTAAATGGAATGTCTACCCCTTTTCACTGCCATCAAGCTTGAAAGTTTTCCCTCCATAAGTTCAATCAACTCTTGGCATCAGTCGCTAGAGCACATGCTTGGGAGCATCTTCCATTCTTGAGACATTTTCACATAGAATTTGCGAGTATTTCTTCTACCGGTAAGCTATTAAATTCTTCGTACTTACGCATTTCGGCCTTTCCATCTATCCAACGCATCTCCCTTTCATACTCAAATTTCCCTATTTAACCCACACAGCGCGCGTTGTTACGTATACGTAGTGTGGTACCAAGAAAAAGTATCAAAATTTTATATTCCATTATGTTTGCGATTTTTCTCTTGTATATTCCTAACGCTGAGATACCTTAATTCAGTTGCATTATTTTTTTTTTTAATTATTTTTTACTTTATTTTATTTTTTTTTTTAATTATTTTTTACTTAATTTTTTTTTTATTTTTTTTTTTTGATTTTTATTTAGTTTTAATTTTTTTTATTAGTTTTATTTTATTGGGTTACAAATTAATTCGGTCCGTTCTCAAAAGATTGTTCCACCTCCATATTGTAGCCAACCTTGAATATTTCTTTGGAAAAGTTTTACAGCTGTGAACACTGATTATTGGGCATCAGCGTCCGTTTCTGACGACAACATTAGTTTTTGCCTCTTCGAAAATGCCTGGATTTGCGTTAAATAAACATCATTCGTAGGAAATTTTGATTTTCAAGTTGAAATGGAAGAAAAGTGCACCTGAAGCCAATCGAACGCTTGTGGAGGTGTATGGTGAATCTGCGCCGGCCGATAATTTATGAAGAGAGTGATTTCGACACTTCAAAAGTGGGGACTTTAGCGTCAGACAAAGGGCGTCCTGGCCAACCGAAAAATGTTGGAAATTGAGTGATTTGAAGCCTTACTGCCGTGCAAAACGCAAACTGAACTCGCAAAAGCGTTGGGAGGGACTCAGCAAATAACTTCCGTTCGCTTAAAGCAATTTAGTTTTATTCAAAAACAACGTATTGAAGCCGAGAGATGACGAAAGGGGATTTTTCACCTCCCAATTGCTTTTTGAAAGACAATAAAGAAAGCGATTTTCAACCGATCGCGACTGGAAATTGAAAATGGATATATACTGGCAAGTCCAAGAAAAAAAGTACTATATAATACTAGGCGTTCCTTCAACGTATACATCGATGCCAATAAAAAAAAAACAAGCACGATTCGAAGACAATGCTCTGCGTATGGTGGGACTAGACGGGTATGGTGTACTAATAGCTGCTTAAATAGCCGAAAAAAAGCGAAACATTATCGATTGCAACTAAAGAAATTGAGCCTTGTAATTTATTAAAAGTGGCCAAAAATGAGCGAAAGGCACGACATGACAACGCTTGGTCCCAAGTGGCTGTAACGGTCAAAAACTACCTGGAAACGCCCCGTCCACCGCATTCTCCAGACTTTGCTCCTTTCGACTACTGGATTTTTCGGCGGTTGCAATTCGATTTGGGGGGTCATCGGCTCGTGTGTTTTCAAGAAATCGAAGAATGACCAAATGAATGGGAACAGTGTGGACTCAGAACTTAGTGAAGGCATTCGAAAATTACCAGAGAAATGGGGAAAAGTACTTACTTTCGAGGGAAAATACTTTGAATGATTTATTTTTTTACTTTTTTCTCAATAAAAAATACTTTTTTTTTAAATGGAGGAACGTAATTAATTTGTATTTTATTTCTTAAAATATTTTATTTACTTTGTTTTATTATACTTAAGTTTCTTGATTTAGCCTATTTTATTGCCTTTCAATTTATTTTATTTGAATTAATTATGTTTGATTTTATTTTAATTTATATTATTTTTTTTTACTTATTTGTTTTTTGTTCCTTTTATTTCCTTTTATTTTTTTAATTTATTTTAATTAGTTTTATTTTAATTTATTGTATATTATTTTCTTCTATTTTATTTATTTTCTTTTTATTTAGTTATTTTTTATTTCCTTTTAAAATAATATATTAACTAGTTATGCTTTATTTTATTTTTAATTTACTTAATCCTTTTCCTATTCCTATTTCTTTTATTTTATTTTATATTGTTTATTTTCATTTATGTTATTTTATTATTACATATATTTTTTAATTTACTTTTTTATTTCCTTTTATTATTTTGCTCTATTTTAATTAGTTATATTTTATTTTAATTTATTGTATATTATTTTCTTTTATTTTATTTATTATTTATTTTTTTATTTGAATTAATTTTATTTTACATTGTTTAATTTTTTATTTTATTTTCTTTTTATTTAGTTATGTTTTATTTCCTTTAAAAATAATATTTGAATTAGTTATGCTTTATTTTATTTTTAATTTACTTTATCCTTTTCCTATTCCTATTTCTTTTTATTTTATTTTATTTTGTTTATTTTCGTTTATTTTATTTTATTATTATATATTTTTTTTAATTTACTTTTTTATTTCCTTTTATGTTTTTACTCTATTTTAATTAGTTATGTTTCATTTTAATTTATTGTATATTATTTTCTTTTATTTATTATTTATTTTTTTATTTGAATTAATTTTATTTTATTTCCTTTTTATTTAATTATTTTTAATTCCTTTTGTTTTTATTTTACTTACTCTATTTTAATTAGTTATGTTTTATTTTAATTTATTGTATATTAATTTCTTTTATTTTATTTATTATTTGTTTTTTTTTATTTGAATTAATTTTAATTAATTTTTTTTTACATTGCTTAATTTTTTATTTTATTTTCTTTTTATTTAGTTGTTTTTCATTTCCTTTTCTTTTAATTTTTTTTTAATCTATTTTAATTAGTTATGTTTAATTTTATTTTAATTTACTTTATCCTTTTCCTATTCCTTTTATTTTATTTTATTTTGTTTATTTTAATTTATGTAATTTTATTATTATTTATTTTTTTCATTTAATTAAAATTTTTTTTTTATTTCCTTTCATTTTTTTACTCTATTTTAATTAGTTAGGTTTTATTTCCTTTTATTTTATTTATTATTATTTTTTTTAAATAATTTTATTTTATTTTATTCTATTTTATTTATTTATTTTTTATTTTCATTTTAATTAATTATGTTTTCTTTTATTTTTATTTATTTTATCTCATTTTCTTTCATTTTTTTATATTTTTAATTATGTTTATTTTTTTATTATTTTACTTTATTTTAGAAAATATCTTTTTTAATTTTTTTTGCTTTATTTGATTTTGTATTTTAAATTTGCTCTTTATTTTATATTTTATTTGAAATAACTGCCAATTTCGTACGATGAATATTTAAAATAAAATCATTTTTCCTCGAGCCCCTGAAATGTTCCTAAACAACGAATAAGTAGCTGAAGCATAAAGTGAAATTAAAGTACGAAATATTCCTTTATTTTTAATTAGCGAAGTTTTTGTTTACTTAGCCATACAAGACACCATATTAACTAACACACAAACAAAAACAATAGAGTAATCGAGAATATTATATATATATATTTTTTTTTGTAATTAGTAAATTTTATTAGTCCCAAAGCCTTGCAGAATTCTAAAAAGTAAAACAAAAAATAAAAATAATATAAAAAAAACCAAAAAATTGGGACTTATAGAAAATGTTTATATTGAAAAAAAAACAGATATGCGTATTCAAAAAAAAATAAATATTAATTTATTATTTTGTTACTTAACTAATATTTTTAATTAAATTTGTAAGTACAGCAATATATTGTATTGTTACATCTTCCTGTTTATTGTGATGCATTTATATTATGTAAATTGCTAAAAGAGACTTATAAATATATATTTCAAAGTTTTTTTTTATAAACAAAATTCAGTTTTTCGTGGAAAATTCATAAAAAAAATTATTGTCTCACTCATTTTTTCACAAAAAACCGAAGAAATAGATAAAAAAAAAACTATTAAAAAATGAACAGATTATAGGCATTTGTACAAAAGAATATTATATATCAATTTGTTATGAAAAAATACAGTTAAAAAAAATACATAAATAAAAACACCGTTGTAATTAATATCTGTTATTTATATTATATTAAAACTATTTATTGTTAATTCGTTAGTGTTTTTTATGGTTTCCCAACACATTAAAAACTGTAAGATACAACAACAACAAGAACACAATAAAGCAAATGCTACAAAAGAAAACTCAGCTGTCGACTTAATAAAAGTGCTTAAACTCACATGCACCGACTTATATACAAACAAAGATATAAATAAAATAAAATAAATATAAAAAAATAAAATAAATTAAATGAAAATGGAGCAGTGAGTGGTACACGTTACTTTATATTTAAAACAGAATAAAACAACAACAGCAATGAAAATGGTTACTTATATATATAAAAATACTTGTATATTCAATCCCACCACAGAAATGTAAGATTGCAAAATAAAAAAAAAAATTTAAAAATAAAATATAATAAAACTCAAAATATTGAACTAAAATGAAAATAAAAAAGTTAAAATAAAAAGAAAAAGTTATAACAACAATAAAGATAAAGAATTAGTATCAAATAAAATAAAAAAAAAAAACCATTTATTTAAAAAAATCAACTCTGCATATTGAGATTTGCAAATTTACTACACACAAAACAAAAAAAAAAAATATAACAACTAAAAGGCAAATTGAAAAGAATATTTACTAAAGAAATATAACAGGAAAAAGCAACAACTTCGTAAAGGACAATGCGTAAAAAATAATTAAAAATCAAAATTAAAATTTTTATGTACGAAATATGTTATGTAGCATGTGGCAGGCAAAAGCAAAAATCACATACACACACACAAAACACACGCTATAGATTAAATTGTGAAAAAAATAAAGAAATTATGGAAATAGTTTAAGTGAAAACACGCAGCAGTTGGCAAAAAATAAATGGTTATAGTATTAATACTGTAAATAGTTTGAAGCAAACCAAGAAAAAGCGTAAACTTCAACATCTAAATGTTCAAATAAAAGTTAAAAAAAAATTTGAAAAAAAAAATTAATGCTGAAAAATGTGTTATCATTGACCTAGTGATGAAGGAACTTTTGCTTAATTTTTGACTTAATTTTCTTTTTGAAGTTTCTAATATTTTCATTATATAATATTTAATGCTTTATTATTTGTTTTTTTAACTTTTTTGAGCTTAAAATATTGCAAAAAAATGCAATTAAAAAATATGTGAGTTTTTTTTGTTATAATTTATTTATTTATTTTTATAATAATTTATTTTTTTTATTTATGTATTTTTTACTTTTAATTTATATTTTTAACTTAATTTTCATGTGAATCCAAAACGTCCACTTTTTTTTTATATTATAATTGAAAAGCATGCTAAATTTGTATAATTTTCTTTCAGAGCGGCTTAAAATTAGCTGAGCACTTAATGCCAAACCCCGAAAAGTATGCTACATTATTTGTAACATTTCCATACTTCCTCTAAACCAATTACTTTTTCTCCACTCCATCACCATCCTCTAACTGCGTTGCCTCCATTTTCTCCAACAACTCTTTGCTATCGCTGCGCATCAACATTTGCGTTGTCTTTTGTATGGTTGTGATTTTTTGTTGTAAATATTCCTTTCGACGCTCTTCTGCCTTCTCGAGTTTCTCCTCTAATTCTTGTAAATTAACAGTGGTCGCCTCATTCTCTGCCGCTTGCTCCATCAGCTCTTGTATACGTTTGGGTGGTTGTTTTTTCACAGTCGCTGCGAGTAGATCTTTGGCTTCTGGTGCGCCGGCGGTGTAAACTTTTGTTTCGGACTCGTCGTTCAGTGGTATTATGTAGGCTTCCGAAGCGGCTATGGGGTTGGAGAGGGGGTAGGAAGAAAGTGAGAGTGGAAGAGATTGAGAAAAATTAGGTAAGTTTCATGAAATTAGTTGAAATGCAGAATTTAATTAAAAAAATACAAATTTTTAATTGTTATAAAACTCAATTTAACCAAAATATTTATTGAGTTTTATTTGCATTGCCAGTTTTGAGCATCTAATAAATTTCAGAAGGAGGTCAGTTAAAAAATTTATTTTTATTTTATATTAATTTATTTCATTTTATTTTATTCTATGTTACTTCGTTTCGTTTCATTTCATTTTATTTTATTTTATTTTATTTTATTTGGTTTTTTCATTCAAATTGAATTTATTTAAATGTTCTTTTTTATTTTAATTTGTTTTATTTAATTTTTTGTAATTTTATTGAAGTTCATTAATTTTATTATAATTTATTGTATTGTTTTTTATTTTATTTTACTTAATTTCATTTTACTTTCTTTAATTTTATTTAATTTCATTCCATTTTACTTTATTATATTTTATTATATTTTACTTTATTTAATTTTAATTAATTTTATTTCATTCCTTTTCATATTATTTTCTTTATTTTATTTAAATTCTATTTAATTTTCTTTATTTTATTTTACTTTTTAATTTTTTCTTTATTTTATTTTATTTCATTTCATTTCATTTTTTTAATTTAATTTAGTCTATTTATTTTAAATAAAATGAGTTTATTTTGCTTTATTTCATTTGTTTTTATTTTTTTATTTTATTTCCTTTAACTTTATTTAATTTAGTTTTTATTTAAATTAATTTACGGTATATTATTTTATTTTATTTTATTAAACTCTTAATTTATTTTATGCTATTTAATATCTAAATTATTTAAAACAATTTAATTTAGTTTAATTAATACAATATCACTTTATTAGTTAGCTTTTATTCCACTATATTTTTATTTATATTTATTTTTTTATCTTATTTTAGTTTTTGAAAATTTTTCATTCAACTTTATTTAAAAATTAAATAAATAACAATAATTCAGTTTTTTCTACTTAAAAACTATTAAAAATTTGAAAACTTTTACTAACTTTATTTTCTCACCAGAAATGAGAATTCCAAATATAGTGTATAATATTCCTAAAATACAATATTATAATTCTTAAAAAGAGTAATGAAATTGCGTTTTGTATTTCTTGCTTTGATTTAAATTAAATTCAAATTTATTTCGAAAAAAAATTTTTTTTATTAAAAAAAGAAAATAATCGGGAAAAAATGTATACCTAACGTGAGAAATTTTGTTTAAAATTTTTCGATAAGCGTTTCCTTTTCGAAGCTCACAATCTCAATTTGAAATTACATTTTCAATACCCTCATTAAAATTTGCATTTTCGAAAAGCCTATAAAAACGAATTTCATTTAAAAAGTTAGAATTAAACAAAGAAAATCATATCTGCAAATAATATATTTAAAGAAAAAAATACATAAATCTTACTAAAATTATGGATTTTCAAAATGCACAATAAACTTTGACGCGGAAAGCCTTTTTGTTTTATTTTATAGATAAAGTAGTTGTGCATAAATTTTGAGTTAAAGTTTTAATTCTACAAAAATGCATAAAGGAAATAATTAGAATTAAAAAAAAAAATAGGGGAATAATATTAAATATCTGAAATTTTTAATTTAATTCTTTTTTGTTAAGAAAAACGTCTCAAAAAGTAATTAATTAAAATTTTACAATTAAATTTAAATGAAAATAAATAAGAATATACAAAATTTAATTATTTTCAAATTGAAAAAAAAAAATATTTTTACTCACACATTGAACTTAGGAAAACTTACCAAAACACAAAATTTCTATATAATATTTTATTTCAAATGTACATATACATATTTACTAGAGTTATAAACTTAAATTTTTTAATCTTTTAATTTTATTTAAATTATTTGCAACGAAATAAATTTAATTTTTCCAATATTTACTTGTTAGTCAGCACATTTTAAATTTACTTACGATATTGCTTTGTTTCTGCATTCGCCATATTTGCTTGATCGTTATTAACCGTTTGATTGTCACTCACTTTGTTGGCAGACAGCGAACGTCCTTTGTTTGCTTCGTTGACGGTTGGCGCAGAAGTTGAACATCCCATACTCAGAGGCACTTTAGACGTAAATTATTTGTTTTTTTTTCAACAATTTATTTTTATTTATTCTTCTTTTCACACTATTAGACGTTTTCCACCATTAATACTACTACAACTGCGCCGTTAATTACAATTTCAAAATGTATGCAATGCATACGTTTTTTTAAATGTGTGTTCACAATAATTTCCCGCTGTCAATCGATTTCAGATCGAGTGTCCATCGCAATCAAAAAAAAAAACTACACATGACAATTTTCTTCCGATTAAATATGCGCATAATACGCGCTGTTTGGTGAATGTTATAAAGAGCGGAGTAGTGATAGTTTTGAAAGGATATAAATATGCTTTTAACTACAAAGTAATAGTGGCATATATGTATGTGTTAATATACTACGTTAGTGTTAATAAATTGTCCTTCAACGTACACACAACAATTCACAGCGGCGTCGACGACGCAACCATCGTACCGACTTCAGTTTCAAAGACTTGTTTGATTCGATTTCCGCCCACAGGAAGATTTCATCGACATCATCTGTCTATCTGTGTGTCTATCTGATATCTCAGCACAAATAGTTTGCGGTTATGACTTGTGCGCCTTGATAGTTTGCCACAAAATCAATGGTATTGATGAGTTTGTTGCGTTGGTGGTTAGCTTGAGCGATAGACTATTGTGTACTGCTACTGTGTATTTCGCAAATATTCAAAGGACATGCCTGCAAGTAGATACACGTATGTATGTACTCAAATATATTTGTTTGCGGTTTTCCCGCACTGAATTTGTGCTATTAACTTATACACGTATACCTCAAATGCACAGCCAACAGCAAAAGCATTAATGCATGCATGTCATTATTGTCCGTTACAACCACGCGCACTTACACACCTACATATGAGTACATATTTATGTATGTACGTATGTATCATATATGAAAATGTCATTAAATCAAATGACAATAAGCACAAGAAGCTCCGCGGCTCCACTATTTCATATCTCGGCACTTTCCGGTTCAATCATTCGGACAGGACTAAACTAACAGGATTTGTATAGCTCATAAATATATCGGGCTATACACTTTATTCATTCTGTTTATATACAATACATATGTAAATGTGTGTATAAATGTTAGTGCAATGTCAGCGAAATAGATAAATGTTGGTTTACGTGTTGAATACGAGTTAATTGAGCTGGAGCGACATTAAGTCAGTGCAATAATGCATGACCTCTGGTCATTTATTATATTATATACTATATATTGTGGTTAATATTTAGCATGAAGTAGTAAGTAAATATTATCATTAAAAAAAGTCATTCACACGTAAGCTATACACATACACGTAGACATACATACATACTTAGATGCAAGTACATGTGTAGGCCGTGCAAATTTTTCACACAATTTTATTTTGAAATTAATGATATTCGGAAGAAGAGAAATCATTAAAAATAATTTAATGATATTTTTTTTTTTTTATGAAATATTCCACATTTAGTAATAGTCAGTGCTGTGAAATAATGATTATTTATTTTTTTTTTTTCATGAAAAAATCAATCAAAACCGGAGAAAAATTCAGGTATAGTTATGAACATGTTGGAATCATTACCAGGTGTGATCAGAAATTTCACCACGCACCACGCTAGCCTTATTCCGGTAATAACATTTGAAGTAGTAGATTTTTTATTCCTTTTGTTACATAAAATTTGATTGTAAAAATGAGAGTTGTCGCTCTTGAAAGCTCGTCTAGTCTAGTAAAAATTAATAAATAATTAAAAAAATTAAAAAAATCAAACAAAATAAAAACATTAAAATTAAATAAATCAAAAAAAAAATAATTATTTATTAAATAAATATAAAAAAAAATTAAATAAATTATATATAAATAAAATAAAATTTACAAAGGTACAAACCTAATAATATTATACATTTGTAAGCACTTTTTCGCAATAAAGCTTTTAATTTTTGAAAAAAAAAACGGCGGAAGCAAAGTTGTACACCTGATATATAGAAAAATTTTGCTTTCGCTTGTGAAGATCCACAAATCTCCAAAACTTGTTGCTTGATTAACAATAAGACTACACTTCTCTCTAGGAAGTGGACCTACACGACCTCATCTATTCGAGAAAAATCATATTTATGGTTCGATATACTTAAAATACGGTATATAGGTGGATGTTTGCTTAGACTAACTAGAAGACGACTCTCTTCTATAGATGGGCTGATTGAAATTTGATGGCTTTTTACTTAGCCTGGCAGGAAGAATACTCTTCCCCCGAGGAAATGGACTATAGAGCAATCTATTCGGAAAATCCGTATTTATAGTCCGATCCACTCGAACGCAAAATGGCTCTATCTATTTGTGTCCCAAAAATTCGCCAGAGACCTGGAAACAAGTACGCTTTGCTCTAAATAATCCTTCTTTCTTTACGGGAAAGGGTTTAGCGATAGATTGCCAAAAATTAGTATGATTTGGATACAAGAGAAGATCGTGCGTAGGCATGTTCATTCCACATTTTTGTTATTCTGCGGCAGCGGGTTCAATTTATGTATGAATTAGGATAGATCCGAGTGTTTCGTTCAGTTAAAAAAAATTAAATTTGACGAAATACAGTTAGCCGCAGCAACATGTAGCCTGGTCTGTTAGATTTATATAGAATTTATTTAGGTAAATGTTAACTAATTCAAGTGAAGTCATTTCACCAAACAAAAAAAACTTATTGTCTAGTTCGCTCTTTGGTACCGAGCTGTGATTACACATTACTTCTTTGAAAACGGCAACGGCGAGACTGAGAATGTGAATTCAGAGCGTTATGGTCGTATGATAACCGATTTTTTTGGTTTGCAATTGCAAAATACGACTTGGACAATATTTCTTACTCTTCATTTATTCCAATCCACCAAAAAAGACATGGCTAATGCATACAAACACAAGTATATAATAATGACAACACATTGAAATGCTAATAATCATCTATGGTTATTGATCTAAAAATCTTGACATTTATTATTGTCTTATTATTAATGATTATTTTTACAAGACAAGTGTGTATAAACATGACCAGTGATGACCTTTTTCCTTCAACTGCGTCTGTTTGTGCGTAGCTAAACCTATATGTGTGTATACATGCATTCATGCTAACTAAAATTTCTCCTTTTGTATTCAGAAGGTGTCCAACCACTTAATTTGAGTTACATATATGTATGTATTCTCCTTTCTTTATCCCATCGCCGAAAATTGAAGAAATAAACAATGAGTTCTTTTGACTTATTGATTATCAGCGCTAAAGCCAATCGAATGTGAAACTGAAGTGGCTTGAAATGGAATGCGTCGGTCATGGCCTTCCTCTCCTTTGAATTTCCAATTGATAATAGACGCTTTAAACACTTTGATCTTTAGATTTTTAAGCATTTAAAAATATATCAGGAAATCCATATTATAGCGCCAACTCATAAATTCTTAATGATTCGGTCAACTTCTTTAATGCTGCTCGTTCCAGCGTCAACTACCTTCATCAGCGAATCGTAAACCATCCTCTGCTCGACATTGAAAGTTGGCACATTTGTTTCGACTATTTCGGTCAGGACATCTTGATCAAAGCCTTGTTTGTTCTCACTCTTCTCTAGACTTTATTGAATGGTTAAAATGCGGGCATTGTACTGCAAGAAATCCAAAAAAGTGGATAGAAGATTATCTTTAATTTGTTGCCAAATAAGGTGCAAAAATATGTCCATTTTCCAATAGCTTCTATTTGCAGCAAACATTGCGATGCGGTTGTCATGCAATTTTTATTCAATTTTGCCATTTTTTATTTTATAGGTTTATCCGCCCCCTAACAAGCAACCGGAATTTAATAATTGCAAATAATTTTGTTTTGTTTACAAACCATCAGCTGTTGGGGCAACGCTGCCACTTGCTTGCTTGTCGGTAAGGCAGTGCAGCTGGTGCAGCTCCAAAGCATTTTCAAATGAATTTTAAATGGAAAATCAACAAAAATAAATACTTCTGAGTTTTAAAATTAATGCAATCATATAGTTTATTAAACTATTTATACATTTTATAGTTGTAGTTGGTTTTTACGCGCATTGTGAGTAGAACGAAAAAGTTTCTGCCTCGCCCAACTAAACTCCAAAGGCTGGTAGCACTACTTATACCAACCGTCTTTCATAAACTTAACAACATGCAATTGGCAACTTCGCTGCAGCTTCTGCCTGCTGGTTTTTCATGTGCGCCTGGTAAAAAATGAGAAATCTGACAAACGGTGTTTTGACGCAATAAATTTTTCTGCTTCTTCTTCTCGTTCGCATAGCGGAAGGAAGTGTAGGAAAAAACGAGTAAATGTGATGGGTTGATCAAGTGAATGAATGCCGCTGGCGAATTTGCTGTGTCATGGAACAAAAGTTTGGGTGCAATTTGCGCTTTTTGCAAAATTCTATAATAATTTTGACAAATATTTTGATAGTATGCGAACCAACAACAGAAGCAGTAAAATTTGTCTTCTTCTTCTTGCTTTTTGTGTTACAGCGGTAGGATGGAAATGCGGGAAAAGTAGCGAGTAAAAGAGTTTGAATGTACAAGATAGCTAAAAACTTTTAAGAAAGTGCTGTCCTGTGTGTGTGTGTTATTTCATATATATATATAAATATATATGTACATATTTATATGTGTATATTTGTTTCTGACATCTCCTACCGCTGTGAAATAAGGAAGTTTGTGAAAGAAGTGCACGAAGTGTTGTTGTACGAATAAATCACAGATGCAATTTTGAAGAATTGCATAAAAATTATTAGTAATTTTAGAACTTGCATTAGAAATGTATTAAAAAATATTTTTTTATTTCGAATTTAATGATTGCTGATGAAATAACTTTGAAAATTAGTTAATTTAAGAGACAGTATTAAATAAACATAACTGAGTCTAGCTAAAAGAGAAAGCCGCTTGAAAATATGTATGTATGTATGTATGTACATATGCACATACGATCAATATGTAAAACAACTTTTAAATTAACTAATCTAATTAATATTGAGTTAACAAACAAATGCCATGAAATCACACTGCCACACCTTATAAAGCCATGAAGTGTGTAAATAAATGAATGAGTGCAGAAAGCAACAACAAAAGCGAACTTGAAATATAAATAAATTGCAAACTTTGAAACTTGCAATTGCCCTTTTCAGTCAACCGCACTTGTCAATGAGAGTGAAATCTGGATGAAACCAATACAGCAGAAGTGGTGATTGGAGATGCAGATATACAAATATACAAAGATACTTGTGTATGTTTGTATGTACATATGTATGTATGTATGTAGATATCTGTAAATATGAATCTCGAACCTGTCTTGAACATTGTGGGCGCCAATGAAGAATACATACATGTGTACATATACATATATGCATATTTACATACTTACAAAAGAGATGTACATATGTATTTTATACACATCATTCCACATCTCCACCCACACACATACATACGTATACACATATGTACATATGTATAAAAAGAAATTGGTTTGAAAAATTTGTGTTACCATTTCAGGAGAACTGTCGCCGACAACATTTGCATACACAAATCTCATATTAATAATGCGTAATAATCGCACAACAAAACTCACATACAGACATAGTACAATATAGCGTGTGCTATTTGCCCGCAACGCTACGGGAAGCGTGTTAGTGCCATTTCATCCGGTGCATAACCAACAGCGCGCGTTGTGGGTCGCTCGTACGGCTTCAGCATGATGATGATGATAAGAAGCAGCGGTGCGCATGCGTCAACACTCAAACATTGCCAGCCGATTGGCGCAAGTGGAGAATGCTAATTGAGTTTGCATTCACAGCGTGTGTATGTACATACATACATACACGTACATATGTGTGCACTCGCCGCATGCGCAATATTATTATTTATCGATGATTGGCATGTTAATAATTCATAAACGTTAAAAATAATGACATTAAAAATATCTAAGTTCTGAATAAGCAAAGAGAGAAAATTAATTATACAAATCACAAATTGAGGCTGTGAGGCGACAAAGTGCAATTAAACTACATAA